CTCGAATACAGTAGTAGCAGCCGAGAGACGGGCGGCGCATCCACCGGCTCGTGCCTCCCTTATCCCCGCCCCATCAAGCTCAGCCTGTCAGCTGGCTCTACTGCAATCAAGATGGCGGTGGGGCCGGGAAGAGTGTGAGCAAAAGCGGCTGCGCTGCCTGTCTCGGGGATGGAGGAGTCCCGCGCGGGGATGGGCCAAGCAATCACCGCCTTTCCCTGAAGAACCGGGCGACGAGCTGAGACGCGAAAGCGGACCATGGCGGGCATTATCAAAAAGCAGATCCTTAAGCACCTTTCCAGGTCGGTACCCTGGGCGCTTTTCCTCACGAGGGGCGGATTTCGGTGTTCTTTTTCAGCGCTTGGCAGGACGACTCGGCAACGGAAGAGCTGGAGGGGAGCCTAAAGCATCCATTTTCTTCAGTCGCGAGGTTCAAAGTCCTGGAAAACGTCTGAAGGGGTCCTGCGGGTCGCTCTTTGCTTGTTTCTCGGTGGTTTGGGGAGTGCTAGATGTCAGAAAATACAACGCTAATTTTGAATTCGCGGGGGCGAGAGCGAGGGCGAGCGCTAGGAGCCCGAAGGGCTGAGCTTGCCTTGGTACCATACAGCCGAGGGGAGTAATTCTGGGGGCGGGGGAGGTGCCTTCTCCATGGAAGGACCCACCCGGGGGCTTTTCTTGCCGCACTCTGGAAGGCCTTCGCGGCTCATTCTACCGGTGCAGAGAGGAGGTCGAGATAAAGCTTAATTGCCCGAGTTATTTATCCGTAACCTGCCAGTACAGCGGGACGCTCAATTGAACAGCTTGTCTCTAGAACACTGTGGGTCCAGGAAAGTGCCCAGGCGAAGAGTGGGTGGATCGTAAATTATACTTGACACGTTGTCTGTAGGAGGAGCGAGCGGCGACTTAGCTGATGTCACCGTGCATATTGTCTCTTAAAGACGAGTCTGGAGATGTCAGGTTTATGTAGTAGGGATGACTGCTAGCTAGCCTGCTGGAAAACGCGTTGCTGTAGGTTGTGATTCAGCACTGCGTTCCCTCCCTGCTTCCTTAGTTGTAGCTGAAAGGAAGGAGAATTGCTGAGCAGTTTTTATAAATCGTTTATATGCTATGCGTTTGAAGCGATGGTGTTTGTGCATCTCGTGTAGATGTTAACTAAGTAATGTCTTTTTACAATAGTATATATAACACGGTTCAGAGGTGGGCATGATAGTGAATGAGGTAATTTGAGGATGCTTTTTGAAATGCTAANATAATAATAATAATAATAATAATAATAATAATAATAATAATAATAATAATAATAGTAAAGTTGGAAGGGACCTTGAAGGTCATCTAGTCCAACCCCCTGCTCAGGCAGGAAACCCTATACCATTTCGGACAAATGGCTGTCCAGTCTCTTCTTAAAAACTTCCAGTGTTGGAGCATTCACCGCTTCTGGAGGCAGGTTAGAGTAGGATGTACATCTATTTCTGCAAAACTAAAGAAATAATAAGAACTAAGTATTTTACATTTGGTCAACTGATTTGTACTTTTGGTTTGGTTTTTACAACCATTTCTTGAAATATATTGATTTATGGATTTGAACAGATAACTGGGTTGACACTAAACATTGCAGTGAAGAAGTCAGACTGAATAAAGATGTAAGTTTTGAATATGCTGTTGGTGTACAATCCTGTATATCTGCTTAAAATGGAATTCAGAGGGACTCTTCATTTATAGATAGAATAGCTGGTAACATTAGGGAAAACTGAAGAATGAGCATGTAGCATAAGATGGGAAGAATAATCTATTTTACTGACAATAGTGAAATTATGTATATTAATAACCAGTCAATATTTTGATGGGTTCATATAAACTAAACATCTGGAGCAAATAATAAAGTAGTTTTCCATTTCTGACTGAATGACAGTTTTCCTGAATGCATAAGCTTTATGATAAAGTAAAGTGAAATATCAATAAAATGATATAAACAATAATGGTTACGATTATTTCCTAAGCATGCATGCCTTTGTTAGACTGAAGCAATATGAAGCAGTTCCAAGATGATCAAATGTCTTTTTCCCATGAATTCTGAATTTGGCTTGGTGTATTGTACACCTAAAGATGCATAGCAAAAAATAAATGCATTTTCTTTATTAAATTTTCAACTCACACTTTAAAAATGAGATTCTTTTAAAATTGTAATCCAAAAAACAGTATTTTAAGAGGCATTTTTAATAAAAAGAAAACACTGAAATTTTGAAATAGATTATATGTAATTATGAAAAAGCTATTTTTTTTACTATGTTCAAGACAAAACTGTTTAAAATGTTTGACTTCTGTGTTTGTTTTAAATACTCCTTTATGTGGTGCACTTCATTGTCTTTGTCATTCTGAGTCCACTAGATCATATGAATTTAAGTGTATTAGTGGAGAGTTCTGCATGATTGCAAGAAACTGGGTGTGATGATTTTTCTTCATTCTATTTTTTTCCTGTGAACAATTATTTAAATAATAAAGTGATCACTATTGTAATGCTTTTATGTTGCTTTACTAGCATGCAGGTTAAATGATGACCCTTAATAAAAAATTCTTATGCTAAGGATTATGCAGATACATTTACGTCATGATTTCCATAGTGAAATAAGGCATTCCCAAAAATGGTGTGACTACTGACCTTTAGGTTTCAAGGCAGTTAAGGGGATTGTCATAAATTTACTTGACTCTTGATAAAATCAAAATGTCAGTTCCAATGCACTCAGTACTCTTTCACTTAGAGCAGGGGCAGGCAACCTTGACTCTTTTATGACTCCTGGACTTCAACTCTCAGAATTCCTGAGCCAGCATAGCCAAGGTTGCCTACCCCTGACTTAGAGTTAGCCTAACTATTGCCATCTTTAAATGTCTTGATATTCAAGAATGATATCTAACTTGGCATTTTTTTGAGTTAAATTCTCAGGCAAGCCTTATTTTCCCCACACTCTATTTGACCCTCTTATGCAGAATTCTATAGTTTATGTGGCATTTAATTTTAAAATTTTAAAATTTAATTTTAAAATACAGAATTGTTTTCATCTTTTCCATCAACATGCTCTACTTAAAAGTGTAGCAGTACAAATATGTATCTGCTCAAATATAACAAAGACATTTTATTTAAATAATTTTTAATTCATGTCATCTATTTAGAATCACATTTGTGAGATGGGCAGCCATATAAATTGACAGAAATAAAGATTTGCAATGACAGCCCCAGTTCAAGGAAAAGACAAGTATGCTCTTAAGTGACTGGATATAACTAAACTATTACTGAATTTCCCAAATTACTGTTCTGCAACTGTCCAAAATGGAGAAATGAAGAACTGAATGGGCTGATATAAAGATCTATGGAAGATGTTTATGTTTGATAATGTAAGATGAATACTTCTGTCATTCAGTGATTAAGCGTCTGTCATTCAGTGATTAAGAATTTTTATTATTTTTTTCTACTGGGTAGATGTTGACAGAAGATCTGATCACATTTGATCAGAAAGTGCTTTTTGTTTAAATAACCCACTTGAATTACTATAGCTTATTTTCTTTTGGCCAATACAGCATACAAACACATCATGCTATTCTGAGTAAGCAGCATTATGCAAAATGTAGACAGTGAGTGACAAGTAGCGAGAAGAAGGAATTAAAAATGGGAATTAAAAGAAAAGAAAAGGAAATTTAACTGAATATAGTTTCACGTAGCACTATACACCATATCTGTTAATACTTTCTATCCTTGCAATCACTAGTTTTCACCATTTCTTCACTCATTCATGCATTTCTTTGTTCCTTAAACTTCTCAATTTGCTTTTCTTGAGAAACATTAGTTCCATCCAAACATGAGCTGTGGTGGCACAGTGGTTAGAATGCAGTAATGCAGGCTAATTCTGCTGACTGCCGGTTTCCAGCAGTTTGGCAGTTTGATTCTCACTGGCTCAAGATTGACTCAGCCTTCCATCCTTCTGAGGTCAGTAAAATGAGGACCCAGATTGTTGGGGGCAATATGCTGATTCTGTAAATCGCTGTAAAGCATTGCGAAGCGGTATATAAGCCTAAGTGCTATTGCTATTGCTCTGTCTTCAACTTTTTGTCCATCCTTTTCCAGATATTTGTTTTATGAATTGATCTCCATTCATAGTTTGTAAAAACTTTGTGGGATTTCACTTAAAAAAAATAATTAAATCAAAGAATTTTCCATGTGCAACAAAAAAATCTTCATGGTGAATTAGTTGAAATGGTGAAATGTTTATCTGTTTAAGATGCTAAAGCAAATGTTTAATAATCCTCATAATTGATATTTTCAATACTTTCCAGAACACTTATTTATAGTATTTATTTGTTTGTTTACATGAATGTTCAGTTCTGTAAATTATTTAGGGAAGTAACTTTGATGTCTATGTATGTTTATTTTTAGGTTCACCAAAAATCTATCACCTGATAAAATCAACTTGAGCACACTGAAAGGTGAAGGTCAGGTAACCAATATAGAGCTTGATGAAGAAGTACTTCAGAATATGCTAGACCTTCCCACTTGGCTTTCCATCAACAAAGTGTTTTGTAATAAAGCTTCTATTAGGGTGAGTAAATCACTATTTTATTAAGGAATTTGGACAATTTTTATTCATGTTGCTCTTAAAATAATTTGAAACCAGTATTTGAAATGGGTTTAAACCCTTTTTAAGCTCAATAAACTGTAATAAAGGAAACAGCAGCCATGAAACATTCTGTTCCATTTTTGTAATAAATAGCATGATATAGAATGGTCTTGTTAAAATAGGATTTAGTTAACCATTTTTCCTCCTTTGTGGCTTATTTTTGAAGCCTTCAATTTTGAGGTAAAGTCCAGAATTCTTTCAAAAGAATCAAACTTTTATCACATTTTTTTTCTTCTGTCTTTCTCTGGTAGCTTTTTATCTTTCATTTCTTTTCTCTGTCACTCAATATATCCATCATAGACACCAAACATTTATAGAAGGGGGGCATTTAGGGACTGTAAAATGAACTATGTAATAATAGAGATATTATTGCATAGAATAAAATGAATAAAGTTTTGGTCTAGTGCATGGTTCCCCAACCCCCCCCCGGACCGCAACCCACTACTGGGCTGCAGCCTATTCAGAACTGGGCTGCGGGAGCCATCGCTTCTCCCCTCCACCGCTGGTCTGCAAAGCAGGAAAAGTTGGAGACCACTGGTCTAGTGGTTAAGAAATTAAGTTAGAAAGCGGGAAACCATGGGTTCAAGTTCTGCCTTAGCCATGAAAGCCATTTTGGTGACCTTGGGCCAGGCACTTCCTCTCAGTCCAACTCACCTCACAGGGTTGTTGCTGTGGGGAAAATAGGGGGAAGTTACATATGTTTGCTGCCTTGGGTTATTTGTAAAAATAATAAAGGTGGATAGAAATAAATAAAATAAAAATAAATTTCTTGTAATATATGGATCTGGGCAAAAGGAAGTGAATGCATAACCAAATAAAGGTGGATTACAGTTGTTGCAGCTTATTTGAAGAAAGAGCTACCTCTCCTGATGGATTTTTGAATCCATTTCCCATCACAGCCATGAATAGTATGAATAACAGCAGGTATGATACCCCAGAAATTAGCTGAAGATGATTTTTCCCTATTTTGTCTATATAGAATACTTTGTGGCCATATCAGATATCTTCCTTCCTTCCTTCCTTCCTTCCTTCCTTCCTTCCTTCCTTCCTCCCTCCCTCCCTCCCTCCCTCCCTCCCTCCCTCCCTCCCTGAATTTTATCCTGGAAACAATAGAGATAATTTGATTTTGTTTTTATTGATGTAGACAAAATTATATGTCCCTTTTGCCTCATTTTCTTTCTTTTCTGAAGATAAAGTTCATTATTGCTTAACAATATTTTCTCTTGCATTTGTTTTCCATTGCAGATACCATGGACAAAATTGAAAACACATCCAATCTGTTTGGTGAGTTTTGAATACAGCCACTTCCCTGTGATTTTCAAAGTAAAATGTATATAGATTATCATTTTCTGGAAGTCACAAAAATAATTGAAATAACATTTGCATTGCAATAGTACTCGACTTATGACCACTCATTCAGCAACTGTTCAAAGTTACAATGGTTCTGAACAAATGGTAGTTATGACTGGTCCTCACAGATCTGACTATTTCAGCATTCCCATCATGTGTTTGCAATTTACGTGGTTGGTAAGCAGCTCATACTTATGATCAGTTGCAATGGCTCATGGTTTCATGATCACCATTTTTGTCCTTCTCGACCGGCCTCCCAAGAAAGGCAGTGAGGAAGCCAGTAGGGAAGGTTGTAAGTCGATGAAGTAAATGTCCTTCATCCACGCACCCTCCCCCAGTCTCTGCTTTCATGCTACACTGGCCAGTTGCTCACAGTTAAGCTGCAGCCTTGAGCCTTGCCATGCCTCTCTTGCATCCTCATACGTGCACTTCTTCATACCCATGTGCACCTCCTCAAACCTCGCTATACCTTGCTTGCATCCTCACACACACTGAGCTTCACCCTGCTTCTCTCGCACCTTCACGCACCACCAGGCACCCGTGTGCACTCCCCCCAGCTCTCCTTGCATCTCCCTCACATCCTCTGCATGCTTGCACATTCCCGTGCACCCTCCATAAGCCTTACCACATCTCTCTCACATCCTCGCGCACCTTCCACAAGCCTTTATACACTGTCCCTGTAGCAAGAGACAGTTACTCAATTACTGTTATAAATTGAGGACTGCTGTAAAGTTTCACTAAGAGGCAAATTGTCAAAATAACTAAATGGCAGCAGTAGAGGTAGTCATTAATTTACAACCACAATTGGGATGGAATTTCTGTCATTAAGTGACATGGTTGTAAAGTGCAACTACATTGCTTAGTGATGGTAATGCAATTCCAGTTGCCATCATTAACTGAATCTCATAGTATTAGATGAGGCAACTTCCTGCTGGAATTCCACAAGATATTGCAAATTGCAAATCTCAAGTGTCTTACAAGTAGGCTGACAGGCAGGTAAGTGGCTGCTGCTGAGTGGAGGAAGGTACAACAGGTTGTATGAGGGTGTAAGACTGACACAGCAAGCTTCAGGAAGGGCGCATAAGGATGCATGTGATGGTGCGAGGAAAGGTTATGGAATGTGCACAAGGGATGTGTGAGTGTCTAGCTTGGCATGAGCATAGAGAAGTCTGTGGAGAGTGTGCAGATTGAGGAGATTTACACAGCAATTTGTAGTCTTCCCTGCTGGTTTACCCATTGACTTTGCATGTGGGAGGCCAGATGAATTTTACATGAAGCTTCTCCTTCAGGATTTAAAATCCCTTAATAATACATGCAGTAGCTAAATTTTCTGTTGCTGGGATGAAAGTAAAACATAATTGGTTAAAGACATTAATAAATGGTTGTTTTAAATACTACTTTTGGTTTGATACATGTTAACTTATAATTGTTAGAGGATATATATAATTTTTATTTTATGTCTATCAATATTTTAGATTTATCATCTGGATAACAAATGTATGAACGTAGTAATAGAGGAGTGAATGTTATTCTATGTGATTTATTTTGCTAGATGTTATTTGTTTCACTCGGTTTTCATTCTTTTAAATTTTGCTGATCATTACTGAATAAATATTATTGATTTAATTTGCTTTGCTTGTGGCAAGCTGTTAGGGAAGGCCGTAAACAATTACATGATCACGGGGCACTGCAGCCAGTCATAAGTGTGAAAGGGTTGCCAAGTGCCAAGATCATCACTGTGGGGGTGCTAGGATGGCTGTAACTCCAAGGACTGGTTATAACTACCATTTGCTTGGAAATTATAAAAGTATATCTTTGCATTTTCAAATTTCTCCTTTTAACTTGGCTTCTCATTCACCTGTGGTATTTGATAATATTTGAGTTTTTCAGTTTTGAGTAAGGAAGTTGAGCCTAAATATCTCGGGAGGGTTTCTTTTTAAACTGTAGTCTGATAAATTGCTAGGTATTGCCTAAGGCAATAGTCTTTCTTAAAAATTAGATTAGCTTAATGTGGTCTTACCATAGTATAGCTGCCAGATTGTTGAAGAGTTTGACTGTACTTAGTAGCCCTAAAGTGTATGTTATGACAGACTCTCATTGGCTATACATACAACACTATTTTGGTTCATGGATGTTACCATTTTATGTATCTTAATATTTTATGTATTTTTGAAGCCCAACTTTGTACCTGGTATTGCTATAAGAAATAAATTATTACAAGTAATAATATAACAAGATCCAGAGAACCATTTTAAGATTGTGTGTTTTAGTGTTTTCATTGTATATGGCATTGGCTGCTTAAATGACATGCATGGAATGCAATTTGAAACATGTTTCAACTGTGGCTATTGAGCATTTCTTTAACAGCTTTAATTTAATTGAAGTTAGTTTGCATACAATTATTCAAAACTAGCAAATTACTATTATAGATGGGCATAATATTGTACAATATATATATGTTCATGATAACCAAATTGAACAATTGCTGTAATTAGATATCTTTCTTTAAAATCTATTAGGTACAGTATTAACAGTTTTCTTAACAACCTGCAGTATTTAGAGAGTTTTATGCTAAAACTTTACCCAGCCATTATGCATGAATAGATTAGGTAAATTGATTTTTAAAAAAATAAAACAATTCAATTATTTTTTTTGCCTGTATTTCCCAGTCATTAGATAAAGTAATAATGGAAATGAGTACATGTGATGAACCTCGTGACCCAAATGGACCATCACCTATAGCAACTGCATCAGGACAAAGGTAAATTATTATTAATCATTTAAGTGATAAAGGTGGAATGTATACAATAATGTGTTTCCCTGAAAATAAGTCCTAACTTGATTTTTGGGGGTGGGCCTAATATAAGCCCTACCCCAAAGGTAAGCCCTAGTTTTGGGCCGAGGCACATGCCTAAAAATCAAGCTAGGGTGGGGGGTTGGAGCTTCTCCCATGGATCGACACTTGCCTCACCGCCCCACTTCTGTGGCCAAAGGAGCAGCTTCCTTCTGCAGCTGAGAATGGAGCTCCAGCCTGCATTTTGCAGCCAGAGGTCTTTCCGGAAAACCTTCTGACTGCGAATTGCAGGCCAGAGCTCCATTCTCAGCTGCAGAAGGAAGCTGCTTCTTCGGCCACAGAAGTGGGCTGGCTGGCTGGGGCTGTTGATGCTGCCCCGCGAGATGAGTGGAAAAGACACCCGCTGAAAATAAGACCTGGTGCCTCTTTTGGAGACAAAAAAAATAAAATAAGACCGGGTCTTATTTTGGGGAAAACATGGTATGTATAAGAAACAAATTGGTTATAATTTAAACATAATACCATTTGGTAATTAAAAATATGTATGGTTAGCTTGTGAAAGAGAAGACTGGGGGAGGGGGGATATGATAGTGGCCTACAAATAACTAAAAGACTGTTCCATGGAAGAGAAGATAGTTTTACTCTCTTGAAAGTTGACTGATTTAAAACTCATAGAATTTGGTACTCAACCCATTTTGATGCAAAAATTTTGTTCCAGTACTCATCATTTGTTTGGTACTTGATGCACAAGCTAGAACTTGTTGCTGTCAGCTGCCTTGTGACTTGCTACCCTTTCCAGCTGAAACAAAGGGTCACATGTTAAGTCATGTGGTTTGGTACTCATTGTTTTTAGTACACAAACCTCCTAAAATCAATTAATGATGAGTACCGAGGTACCACTGTAGAGAGGAATAAAACCAAACCAAGACTGGAATTGAAAAATTCAGGCTGAATATTATGAGGGATTTCTTTACAGTAAGATCTTAACCGACGGAATAATCTGCTCAAAGCAGAAGGAAATTTTAAGTGCTCTGCAGATCTAAGGGGGGAAAGTGGTGCAGAGAGCTTACTAATAACACATGTAGTATCTGTCTGCATTCCTTGAACAAAGCATATATTTTCCTTAGTTCACTCAGCAGCTATTAGATATAGCCATGTGTTCTTGGGAAAAAGCACTGTTGCTTTAAGAATGGCAGACAGGTGGTATGTAAATGGGTATCCTTTTGTTTTTTAATCTAAAGGGATGCATGATCCTAGTATATGTTTTATTGTTGGAGGTTTTCAAATGGGAACTTGATGGCAACCTACCAGAGATAATTTAGGTCATTCTATGCAATGGCTGTGGTTTATTTAGAATTCTGGTATAGGTAGTCCTCAACTTACAACAGTTCATTTAGCGACCATTCAAAGTTACAATGGCACTGAAGAAAGTGACCTGTGATTGTTTTTCACACTTACAACCATTGCAGCATCCCCATAGTAACATGATCAAAATTTGAATTCTTGACAACTTACTCATATTTATGACAGTTGCAGTGTCTTGGGGTGATGGGTTCACCTTTTGCGACCTTCTGTCAATGGGGAAGCCAGATTAATTTAACAACTGCATTGATTCACTTAACAGCTGTGGCAAGAAAGATAATAAAATCGGACAAAATTCACTTCACAACTGTTTTACTTAGCAACAGAAAATTGGTGGTCCTAAGTTGAGGACTACCTGTATTTGAAACCCACACATCTAAAGGTTGTGAAGGTTGGGAAACATTGTTCTATAGGACTGCTAAACTGAGCAAGGGATTGAACTGGATGACCTTTAAGCTCCTTTCCAACTTATGGCTTCTCTATATCCTGGACTACTTTTATTAATATAAAATGTCTGCCACCAACTGTGGCAGTGGTTATATCTTCTCTAATTTGAACTTCTTAAATTGTTCTACAGCATATAATCTTATTACTCCAGGAAATCATAAGTATAAACTGCCTTTATACAGCAAGCAATGAAAACCTTTGCATTGCTCTAGCATAATATTTCCATGAAACACAAGAAAATGCCAAATAATTTGCAATGGAAACTACAGTTTTATTGTGCATGACCAACTTCAGAATTGTGAAGCTAATATCAATAAAAAGCTAATTAGATACAGTTTTTGGGGGGTGTTTACCAACTAGCATATCTGCTTTATCTAAGCAATTCACTATTTATTTATTTGACTCCTTGAATTGGATTCTTTAGCAATCTTTAATCTGTTCTGGATTTAGTGAGATCTGATGTCTTATCTACACCAGTACATATATTGTCTTCATTTTGACCAATTGCTAAATGTTTCATTCATGTACACTAAAGTCTAATTTAAATCCCTGCATTTTATTTTGCCAGTGAATATGGTTTTGCTGAGAAAGTTGTAGAAGGCATATCTGTTTCTGTAAACTCCATTATAATCCGAATTGGAGCAAAAGCTTTCAATGCTTCATTTGAACTTTCTCAGTTGAGAATATATAGTGTAAATGCAAAGTGGGAACACGATGATCTAAGATTTACTCGAATACAAGAATCACAGCGTGGAGAGGTAAATCTTATTTTTCTTCTTCCCAATGTTTACAGTGAGACTTTATTTTTTGCATATCTATTTCACTCATAGAAAAATAATTGTAGCAGAATCCACTTTTTTTATTTAGCATTATATAAATACTAACATTTAAATAATGTCTTTATAGTTTTGTTTAGCTATACAGACATATGTAATCACAGTTGTCTTCTAATTTGCCAGTTAGCCTATAGCTCTGGTAGTTCTGGTGACCTCCCATTCAGCCCTGCTTAGCTTGTGAGCCTAACCAAGACTGATCAGCATTTATATAGTTATTTTAATATTAAAATTATTTTGTAGTGGCTAACCATCTTAAGTCACTTGCTACCATTTACATATGAGTACAGCTCAATCATACGCTTGCTACTAATTCAATTGTTATCTCATGCCTTTTCACATATTTGCACTTTTTGAAAAGCTTCTCATGTTATTACAGTATAATTACCATGCTGTTCAAATTCCTGATTAAAGGGAGGAATATCATTTCTTCATTTATGAACTAATTTGCTTGTGAAATTATGCTTTTGAAAGCCTTTAATGGGCCTTGACAAGTATTTAGGAAACAAAATAAGTTGCAAAAGGAATCTCAATGTCATAGAAATCAGGACTATAGAGCAGTGGTGGCGAACCTATGGCACGGGTCCCAGAGGCGGCACTCAGAGCCCTCTCTGTGGGCACGCGCGCCATCACCCCAGTCCTAGGCCTTCAGCTGGGTTTTATAAAACCTTTTCACTTTAGGCCTCCGCCACCATGTGCAAAAAAAAAAGGTTCAGTCAATTTCAATTTCTCACGGGGAAAAAAAGATCTTGCAAAGTTGGAACTGATTGATTGAACTTTTTAGTCCCACCCAGTCTGCTGTTACCACCGTAGCCACACCCACCCAATGGGCCACACCCACCCGGCACCCGATGATGCATAAGTGGGTTTTGGGTTGCAGTTTGGGCACTCGGTCTCTAAAAGGTTCACCATCGCTGCTATAGAGCATCTAAGTGCCTGTATATGTAATATCCTCCATGGATGGCATTTAGGGAAATCTGTTAGTATTCTGGAGAAAATAGTAAACATAAAGAACAAATCTGTTGCAGCAAATCCAGGAGCCCAAACTTTTGCAGTCAGTGGGCTCATTTAGATTTGGGAGCACATTAGGGGTACTCCCAGAAAGTCATTATGGTGATAGGGCCATTCATCAGAGAAACTAAATGCAGTCCTCCTCAAGAAACTTTGATCACAAGACCAAAATGCCAAAAAAAAAAAAAAGGTTTTCAGGTTCTGAATAGTTTTAAAGGAGAAAATGGGAACAACCAATTTCTGGAACATTTCAATCTCCTATTTCCTATCTTCATCCTTAACATTTCCATATTTTTTTTAAAAAAAAAAGGGATGAAAAAAATTGAGCCATTCCACTTCCAGTAACATTTCTGTGTCATTTCAGCTCTGATTATGTGTGGTGTGTGAAGTTTTGTGTTGTCATGTTGTTCAGGTACATGCCCAGTCTTTTAATTAGGATGAGTTACAAAAATAATTAAATAAACATACACATTCTAGGTTTTCAGAAGTGGGGAGGCTAAGTTGCAGCTCCTATACATTGGTTATCTTGATTTATCAGAATTCACCATTTTATTTTCTAAGATTCTCTGGGATATATGTGGTTCCAGAGGCATTGCTGGAAATGCATGTTATGCTGGAGATTACTGGTTTGCTTTGCAACTTTGATTTCTGCTTTTAATAAAATAATCTTAAAAGGATGAGGCAGATGTCTTGATAGGAATCAAGGACTATGTTAGCAGCACACTATTACTTTTGGTGCCACCATGGGAACATACTATACATTTAAATCCTGACATGTTATTTTATTCAAGAAAATTAGGCTTAAGCACCTGGAATTGCAATTTTCAGATATATGATCTTATAATCATAGAATTATAGATTTTTTAAAAATTGGTAGGCACCTTAGAGGTCATCTGACCCAAGCTACTTCTCAATGCAGAATACACTATAGCATCTTTTAAAAATCATTCAATCTCTGTTTGAAGACTTCTAGTGAAAGAGAATTCACTATTTTGTTTGGCAGTCTGTTTCACTGTATGGTAAAACATCAAACTAGTGTATGATAATGTCTAGTCTGAACTTATTTTCTTGCAGTTTTTACAAACTGATTCTAGTCCTGCTTTCTGGGGCAATAGCAAATAAATCTACTCCCTGTTTTTTGTGACAACGTTTCAAATATTGAAGACTACTGTTCTACTGTCCCTCATTTATATTTTCTACAGATTAAATAGACCCAGATAATTCTCATAGGGCTTGATTTCCAGACCCCTTATCTTCTTGCTATCCCTGTTCTGAATATGCTTGAGTATGGCATTGTACTTTTTTGAATTGTGGTACCCAGAACTGCACACATTATTCCCAGTAAGCTTTGACTAGAACAGAATAAAATGAATTATTACTTCCATGATTTGTGGAGTTATTGGTGTTCTCTGAGCTCTCCCATGACCTAGACTCTGCATTTTGCATAGTTCATTCAGTACTTCCTTTTAAGCTCCAATGAAGCCAATAATGAACACTGTTTGGGTACAGTTGTTCAATACATGATTGTGAATTCATGTATTAGTGGTACCATTTAGCCCATATTTTACCATTTATTAAGGAGAAAATGCTGAAGGATTATATTTAAGGCTTTGCTGAGTTCTCGGTTTACTAAATCTCTGTTATTCCTGTGATCTAGTAAGCTAATAATTCTGTCAAAGAAGATATGGTTAATCCGGCATGATTTGTTTGTGACAAACAGATGCTGCTTCCTCCTAAATGCAGCTTACCTGCCTACAAATAGTCTGTTCAACAAGTTATTCAAGGATGTCTCCTACTATAGATATCAAAATGAGAGATCTATAGTTTCCTAGATCCTCTTCCTTCACATATAGTGATGACATCTGCTTTTTTTCCATTTTCCAGGACCTCATCAGTTCAACAGGAATTCTCAGTTTATGAGAGTGTTTCTATGATCTCTTTTGCTAGTGTGAAGGAATATAGAGCTGATCTTGAGGATAGGGAAGAAATGAGCCAGCTGTTGGTGGGAGGATTTTCAGAAAAAGTATACAGTATGGAAAAAGAGGAAAACTGAGAAAGAAACTCAGCATTTATTTATCCATTCATCCATCCAATTTCTATAGCCCACCCAAGTCAACCAATGATTCCTGGCAGTTGTTCTTATTTTGTTTGGTAAAGATGGCAAAGCGAGAAATGTGGACAGGCTTTAACTATTCTATTATTCTACCTTACTATAATAAAGAGCGTTCCTAGTGTGACCTGATTTATTTGAAGAGCTGTCAGCTAGTCTCTTCAACACGATACAGTGTGATCTACTTGATACTGGAAACTTGAATTCATTTAAATTAGTTACATTGTCATTTACCTTATTTTTACCTTATTTTATAAACAGTAAATTTGCATGTTTGCAGATTATGTTAAATTATTCATCTTAATGAAATTAAAAGTGATTATGAAGAGTTTTGGAACAATTTCTTGTTGGTGCAAAATTTCACATATAGATTGATGAGATCAGAATTGTCTGAAACTAGCCAAGAATAAAATTTGGGTCATAGTGGATAATTTAATGAAAATGCTGACACGGCAACTTTGAAAAAATCAAAAGACGTATTAGGAATTTTTGTGAAAAAGACTGAAAGTAAAACTGCCGATAATATCATGACTTTATACAAAGCTCTGGTACATCTGCATCTGGAATTTTTTGTCTTTTCTCAAAACATTAGTACAACAGGTCAAGATTAGCTAATGAACTTGTTTGGAAGGAGATTTATAAAGATTAAAGAAAATATTTCTTCACTTGATACATAATTGATTGGTGAAGTTCATTACCACAATTTGTGATAATTGCTAAAATGGCTTTAAAAACTGATTGGACAAATCTCTCATTGTTGAACAACATTTGATGTTGGGTGTAGAATGCTTCCAGTTACAAGAGTATTATAATAAGAGAGTAACACTCATGTTCCCTGATTTCAAAGATTACAATCATAGTTCACTTAGGCAAGACCTAAATAGAAAAAATGGTGTAGATGATTACTGTGTCTTGCCTTCTCATATGTATATGTGAATGATTAATTAATGTTCCAAAGATCAATCACATACAGTTTCAAATAAAAATATATTAGTATGTGTGTATTGTACCTTGCCACAATCATGCATAGATTTTTGGCAACCCACAACATAAAAGAAAAATAATAATAACCATTAAACAGTTACAAAATAAATCCAAAAGTCAAAATACACAAACCTAAACATTACATTCTTAAACTTGCTTTTTGTTGTCTTGATTTAGGATGTGATTTTTTTTCTTAGTTATGAATAACAAATTTGAGTTTTTAATCTTAAAGAATGAAAGTGAACAAATCTAAACTGAATTCCAGTTGGCAGTCTCTAATCAAAAAGAGAATCAGCTATGCCTGCTTTATTGTCTCTCACACACACACACTTAGATAAACTCTACTTAATGTTTAATTAATTTATGTATGTTTTATTATAGGTATTGACATTTAAAGAAATCAACTGGCAGATGATCAGAATAGAAGCAGATGCAATCCAAAGCTCTCAGCATGAAATCATGAGTGCTCCAGTTCGTCTGATTACCAACCAGTCTAAAATTAGAATCATACTTAAGAGAAGGGTAATGCTGAAACTGTTGAAATCAGTTTGCTTATTTTATTTAAATAAAAATAATGTTAATTTTATTTATGAGCATTTTAATAGCAATGGATAAAATGTTATATGGTACTATAATGTATTAGTTGGAAGGGACCTAACAAGTCATTTCTGGTCAGTGTAGAAATCCACTGAACATTCTGTGGCAGATTTCCAGTTCTATATTATTATAGCAACTCTTCTCTGAAAACTTCACTAGTTTTAAGGTACATATGTAAAACTGAATAAAGTACTCCAATGACAGTCAGCCAAGTGCAGAGTACAGTGCAACTGTTACTTCCTGGATCTGTATGCTATGCTTCGGTTAATATGGCACATAATTACATTGGCCTTTTTAACTACTTAACTATACTTCCTCATGCTTAACTGGTGATTCCCTTTGACCTTTCTCAAATATGTTGTCACCAACCACTTGTATAAAAAGCTGCACATTCTCTGGATCCTCTTCTTCACATTTATCTACCTTGTTCACAGGGATATTTTGAAAAACTTGGTGAAACCTTTGCTTATTGCTGTAAAGGACATTTTTAACTTTCATTTTAGTCTAGAAGTAGATTGAAAAATCTTATTTTCTCATAATGAATCTCAGGGGGAGAAAAGCAGTGAGAAAACCTGCTTCTTTTTTCATTTCCAAGTATCTGTTTGGTAGTCCCCATCTCTCTATTCAGATACTATGTTGGATCCCTGATCTGCCCTCAATCAAGTTGCTTTTTGAAGCACCCTGAACTTTGATATTTATCTATTTATCCATCCATCCATCCATCCATCAGTCCATCCATCATCTATCTATCTACCTACCTACCTACCTACCTACCTATCTATTTTATATGGGCACTCATCTCATAAAATGGTATAATCCATGATGCTTAAAGTAAATAATATGTTCCAGTTCTAAAATCCTGTTTATAATAGTGTTTGCTTAACCTGACCTGAACACCTTGGAAATAGCCAAGTCTTCAGAGCCTTATAAAAAAGTAATAAGATCGGAGCCACCTGGATCTTTGGGGCAGGTGCTGCTACAAAGAAAGCACAGCTTACTTTTCCTTTGACGAAATGGAAGATACTCGCTCAGTTGACTTGTTCAAAAGCTGGCCTTATTTTTTTAAAAAATGTCTTCAGTACAAGAAGCCAGTTCCTTCCATAAAGAAATTGGGGACAAACCCAGTTCACCATTCAACATCCCTGCTTTGACCATTTGAATCTGTTGGGCAAGGCTATTAATATCATTTGAAGCAGATTATCGCATAGCCTAAATTTTATATTTTACCTATTTTGTATTTATTCAGTACAATTCCTATATGCATGTTTCATTTTGTTAATTGGTTGTAGAGGAGAGATAAATAAGGAATACTATTTTATTTCTGAATGAAACATTTTTGTGTGAAAACTCCAACCAAAATAGACAAACTAATTCTTAAAGAAAACACCTGTGAACCTCCCAGTTGTTGGGATAGAATAAATAATAATTTAGACTTTAAACAGACGGGCATCTACCACATAACACCACGGACTTAACAACTGTCAATAAAAAGACAAAAAAAGACTGGATAGTGAAAGTGGCAGTACCTGGCATACAGATAGAAGAGAAAGAACTGGAGAAGATAACAAAATACAAAGACCTGCAGATAGAAATAAAACAATTGTGACAAAAAACAAAGGCAGTACCAATAATCATAGGCATCTTAGGTGCAATTCCCAGACAACTGGAGCACCACTTGAACACCATCGGCATTGACAAATTCACCATCAGCCAATTGCAAAAGGCAGCTTTACTTAGAACAGCTTACATCCTGCAATGATGTATCATTGTACCTCTATCACCATCAAACATCCATATCTGCCTATCTCAGGTCCTTCGGAAGGACCCAATAGGCAGACAAAAATGCCAAATTGAGTCTGAACATCTGGCTGACTGTGTAACAAACTACCACCAATAATAATAATATTATTAATCATTGGAGAGACCAAACTAGCCTACAAGAAAGATGAAATGAAGAACATTAGAAGGGTTAGAAATGAATACATCAAGAGAGTGAAGATTATATTCCAAACTCAGTAGAGGAAATACCGTCAAGGCAATCAACACCTGGGTAATTCTAATCATTAGGTACACAGCTGAAATAGTGGACTGGACTCAGAACTAAAGGCCTTGGATAGGAAGACTAGAAAAATAGCGGCAATGAAATATTGCCCTTCATCTATGCATTGATGTTGAAAGACTCTGCTTACCAGAGAAAATAGGTGGGTGTGGAATGTTACAAGTAAATAAGATGATTGAAAAAGAAAAAAGGGCATTGGAAGAATATCTGAAGGATAGTGAAGGAGATACATTGAAACTAGTATTCAAGGAAGGCCTACTGAGTAAGTTGCCTAAAAGAAGGACCAAATGAGGCATGGGAAGACAAAGCATTACATTGCCAGTACTTTAAAAATATAACGGAAAGCAGATAATAACTTAGCAAAGGCTAAGAGCAGAAAAGTTGAAGAAAGAGAGAGAAGGCTAATTCTGGCTGTACAAGACCAAGCCTTGAGATCGAAACTAATGTTATGGTAGATCATAACCCAATAAAGATGACTTGGAGAGGAACCAAGAAAAAATTAAGATGGTCCTTGAACAAATCTATATTGAAAGAAAAAGAATTTATACAACTAGCAACAAACGAAATGGATTTTTTTTTCAAAATAAACAAGAAAGAAGAAACATTGCTTCAAAATACGGCTAAAGCATATTTCAGAGGGTTGGCTATAACCTATACCGCTAAAAAGAATAAAGAAATGAAACAACAACAGTTAAAGTTGAAGGAAGAATTCAGAAAGTTAGAATCAGAATTACAAATAGACCCACAAAAGAAAATACTTAAGAAACAAATGGAGATAATAAAATACAAATTAAATCTAACTGAGACGGAAATAATGGCTCAATAGATTAAAAGGGCTAAACAGAACTTTTTTGAAAATGCCAACAAACCGGGGAGATGGTTAGCACATAGACTGAGAAAAGAAAAAGAGAAAAAACTGATAATTAAGCTGCAAGATTCAAAAGGTGAATTACAGTTTCAAAATGATACAGTTAAAAAAAATCATCAAAGACTATTACGAGATACTTTACAATGCAGAGGAAATTCAAAAGAAAAAATACAGTATTTTAAAAAAGCAGACTTACTAAAAATCTCAGAGAATATTCAAAATATATTTAATGGGAAAATATCAATGATGGAGATTATAGAGCAGTGGTGGCAAACCTATGGCACAGGTGCCAAAGGTGGCACTCAGAGCCCTCTCTGTGGGCACGTGTGCCATCGCCCCAGTCCTAGGCCTTCAGCTGGGTTTTATAAAACCTTTTCACTTTAGGCCTCTGCCGCCGTGTGCAAAAAAAAAAAAAGTTCAATCAGTCAATTTCAACTTCTCACGAGGGAAAAAAAAGATCTTGCAAAGTTGGAATTGATTGATTGAACTTTTTAGTCCCACCCAGTCTGCCGTTACCACTGCAGCCACGCCCAGCCAATGGGCCATGCCCAGCCAATGGGCCACACCCACCCGGCACTCGACGATGCATAAGTGGGTTTTGGGTTGCAGTTCGCCATCACTGTTATAGAGGCTATAAAAAGGCAAAAAAAAGATAAGACTCCGGGTCCAGATGGATTTCCTGCAGAGCTTTATAAATCATTACAAGCTATACTAAGTCCTATATTGAAAGTACTGTGTAATGAAATACTTTTGGAAGCTAAAATACCAAATACATGGACTGAAGCCAATATTACCTTAATAACCAAAGAAGACTCTGATCTAACGCAAATAAAAAACTATAGACCAATATCATTATTAAATGTAGATTATAAAATTTTCGTCTCAATAATAGCAGAAAGACTAAAGAAATTTTTGACTGAATTTATACATACAGACCAAAATGGTTTTCTACCTAAAAGACAGATTAAAAAAATGATTCTTGACGTGTTAGAGTACTATGAAATTCATCCAAGGAAACAGATGGCTTTAATATTTCTTGATGCACAGAAAGCGTTTGACAATGTAAACTAGCAATTTATGTTTCAGCAACTAGTAGAAATGGATTTTGGAGAAAACTTTATAAATGTAATTAAAACAATTTATTGTAAACAAACAGACAAAATAATTGTAAATGGAGATTTTACAGAAAACTTTAACATTAAAAAAGGCACAAGACAGAGATGCCCACTATCTCCATTATTATTTATACTAACACTGGAAGTATTTAATAGAAACATCAGACAAGATATAGAAATTAAAGGACTGGAGATAAAAGATGAACAATATAAACTACAAGCATTTGCAAATGACTTGGTTTTTATATTGGAAGATCCGCTTGAAACAAGCACAAAACTTAGGAAAAAATAGAAAAATTTGGAGAAGTGGCAGGGTTGAAAATAAACAGAAAAGACTAAAGTGCTAACAAAAAATCTAACAGAAAAACAAAAAAACCAACTAGCAAAAAAACCAAACAAATCTTCTAATAGTTAAAAATGTTAAATACTTGGGAATTTATCTAACAGCAAGATGTGTAACAATAAAAGAAGATAATTACGTAAGATTGCTAAAACAAATAAAATTGGATCTGGAAAAGTGGAAAAACTTACAACTTTCAATGCTGGGGAGAAAATGAGTATCTTACCAAAAGTACTCTTTCTATTTCAAACGATTACTGTAAGACTAGGAAAAGCCTTTTTTGATGAACTGAATACAACAATACTGAAATACTGGCAAGAAAAAAAAGCTAGAATTAGACTGAAAATGCTACAAGAAGCGAAAGATAGTGGAGGATTTGGACTGCCGGACTGGACGTTATACTACCAAGCATCTATTTTAACTTGGCTTAAAGAATGGATAATGCTTAGAGATAAAACACTATTATACCTAGAGGGGCATGATCTACAAATTGGTTGGCATGCCTTTCTGTGGTATGGGAAGAATAAAATACATAGATACTTTCAAAACCACTTTATAAGAAATGCATTTCTTTCAGAGTGAGAAAAAATAAAAGCAAAAATTTATATCAAGATACCTGGATTGCTTTCAACAATGGAAGCTTTTGCTTACCCAAATTTAATTAATTATGACAAAGTTGTGACCTATAAAGATATCTTGGACAATGAAAGAAAATTGAAAGACGGACAAGATTTACTAGAACAAGGTATTGATTTATCATGGTGGCCATATTTGCAAATCCAAACGAGATATGAAAAAGATGTTAAAACAATGGGATTTTATAAAGAACAGACAGAATTTGACCAGATACTGTTAAAAACAGATGAAAAGTTATCTGTTAAGCTTAAAGATGAAGAACAAGTAAAAGAAACAATGATAATATGGGCAAAGAACTTTGGATATAATATAGAATTAGAAAATTTTAATTAAGTATGTATATATGTTAGTATTTTATTCAATTGTCAGCCGCCCTGAGTCCGTAAGGAGAAGGGCGGGATATAAATGCAATAAATAAATAAATAAATAAATAAATAAATAAAACTGGCAAAAGTTATGAGAAAGAAATGCTAAATTAACGAAAGTGGCATATAAAGAAAACTTATATAAAATGTTTTACAGATGGCATATGACACCAGTGAGATTAGCAAAAATGTTTAAAAATACTTCAAACAAGTGTTGGAAATGCAAACAAAGACCAGGTACTTATTACCACATCTGGTGGACATGCCCTAAAGCAAAAAGATTTTGGTTAAAAATACATTTATGGTTTGAGAAAATGACTAAAAAACAAATAGACATTAAGCCAGAATTATTTTTGTTAGGAATAATAGGAGCAAATTATGAGAAAGACTGTATATATTTAATTCTACATGTACTAACTACAGCAAGAATTGCATTTGCCCAACATTGGAAAAATGAAAGTTTACCAACTGAAGAAGAATTAATTAAGAAAATTTTAGAGTGTGCAGAAATGGATAGATTGACTTTAAAGATAAAAGAGAAAGAAGACTCAGTGTATTTTAGAACATGGGATAATTTTTATCAATGGCTAGAAAAATGAGTTAGAGAGAAAGGAATGTGATATGTAACTTTGAATATATATTAGCAAGAAGAAGACCATCGAGCGATTAATTAACATATTGTTTATGATAATTAACTACTCTTTTTTTAAATATATGAACCCAGACGTTATGCTGTTTGCTAAATATTGAGAATGTTATTTTAAAAAAACCCCAACCCTAACCCAAATCCCAACCCCAATCCCGACCCCACCTTATTCCTAATCCTATAAAAACTAATAAAATATATATAAAAAGAAGAAGAAGAAGACTTGGAGCTAGAAGATCATACATGTCATTGTTTTACCTATTTCCAATTATAAGAAAATGTGGTTTTGAAGCTGCTAAAATGAATTTGAAATGTTCATCATTGGTACATAGTATCATCTTATAACTAAGGTTTATAAAAGGCTGTTACAATTAAACCTAGATAATCAGTATATTAAACGTTGGGCAAGAAATTTTGGTTATAATATAATGTTAGAGCAATGGGAAAATACATGGACTGATAAACTGATATTCACATTGAATTATAATCTTAATGAGAGCTTCTGCAGTGATGCGCTGGTTGTATTTGATACCAGATAAAAACTATCAAAGATATAAGGATGTTTCAAATATTTGTTGGAAATGCAACTGTAAGGAGGGAACTTTTTATCTTATGTTGTGGACATATGACAAGGCAAAGAAATATTGGGTAAAGATCCATGGTTTAATTCAGAAAAATTTAAAAATAGACTTACAATGTTGCAGGCTTTCTAAATACAATAATAGATTGCTTGCAGAGGGGTTTGAAGTTTACCTTTGCTGTTGGTTTACCTATTAACTACCTTTTTTATATATAGTAGCTAGACAGGTCAATTGGTAGCAAATAGTTTTGCAGACGTTTATAAATTATGGGCCTGCTTTGCAACAGGGAGAAACTATTATTGCTGTAATATATTTATCAGTATTTAACTGTGGGGACAATATATGTCTATGTGTTTCTATTTGTATTTTATATTAAGAAAGAAAAGTTTTAATAAAATATATTTAAAAACAATATTTAAAATTCACTTTTTTTCCTTTGACAGTTAAAAGATTGCAATGTGGTGGCATCCAAACTAATTTTAATACTGGATGATTTACTGTGGGTTTTGACTGATTCCCAATTGAAAGCTATGGTACAGTATGCTAAATCCCTTAGTGAAGCAATAGAGAAATCAGCTGAACAGAGAAAAAGCCATGCTTCTGAACCCATGCAAGTAAGGCAATCAAGTATTTTTTATATCTTAATATTGGTACAAATTTGTTCAGAAAACTCTACAGTATGGGTTTCTATGGAATTTTAGTCTTTAACTTTGTGAAACTGGTTCATTTTGTTTGTCAAACCTTAGAGTTTTTTCCCCAAAATTGGTAGCATCAGTTTGAATTATATAAGAAATTACATAACAAGGTTTAAAATATTTTTTGAGTTTGCTGTGTAATATTATTCCTCTAAGACAGAAGAACCAATTGCTATGAATATTTGTTATTAGAATAGATAGTGTAATAACTAGTATATCATACTGGACAAAGATAGAATTAAATTAGTTTTGCATATTTTTGTATTTTCTGCTTTTAATCTCTTCATAACTTAATTGCACTAGGTAGCAAAGACTTGTTGGCCAGACTGCCATCTTGTTATTGTTCTTATTTTTCTTGTTCTTAATTTATTTTGTATTTATTATTCATATTGCACTTTATTGCAATTATATTTTGACCTGGCTAGTGTTGACTGGAGACAGGTGCCCAAATTGAATAAATTTAATTAAATCAAATCAAATTAAATAATTTCTAGAAATATTTTGAATACTACTTTGAAAAAAATCTGTTTCACAAGGTTTTGAATTTAAACTGCTACACCTCAGCAGTGCCACTCTTGTTGTCATTCAATTTAATAGCAATAACTGTGCCAAATAACTTTGAAGATTAAAGTATAATTTATATTCCATTTGAAAATATTATTTAATATGAAAGCATATGTTATGGTGTTTCAGTGAAGTTTATGTTGTATTTAAATTGTTTCAGAGTTCCATGTCAGCATATAATTCTCAGGAGATGAAAACTCAACAGTCTTCAGCAGCTTTTGATCAAAATGATGCAATTGTAAGATTATTCAATGATTTTGATGTTAAGGAAACATCTTACCATCTAGCAATTTCTCATTTGGATCTGCATATCTGTGATGATATTTACACCAAGGAAAAGGGCAAGACTTTTATTTATTATCTTTATGATTGACCAAAATTGTATGACTCTATGTTAAACTACTATATATTTCCAGTTTATTTTGCTTGTACATTTTCAGGTCTATGCACTACTTCTTAAATATCAGTTGGTGCATAGCAGTATCTTATTAATCAAACTTAGATTTCTGCCATCTCCCCAAAGGCAACTCTGAACAGAGCACAACGAATGGATAAAACCACATATGAAACCACAGATATAAAAAATATAAAAATCACTTTAAAAGTAAATATTATAAAAACAAGGAAGCCTAGGCAAAGAGAAGTTAAAAATAGTCATGGAGCTATTTAAGAATGTCTTTGTTCCCTGGGAGTCCCAGGCCTGATAACATAACCTGATGGTCTTCTGGTATATCAAAAGGGTTGGAAGCTAATCTAATTTTTTTTTGGGGGGGGAGAATATCCCATAAGGTGGGTGGCATAGCTGAGAAGGCATGCCTTCTGGGATGAATAGAATAGAATAAGGTAGGGTAGGGTAGGACAGGACAGGACAAGCAGAACACTTTATTTGACCAAGTGTGATTACACATACAAAAGGCACCAATAATAACACCAACAAGTGGAGATAGTAAAGGAGATAATAAGAAGGATAATTATAATACTACAGGCATACTACATGTGTAAGTATACATAGATATTACACAGCACTGTGTGAATTAGGGGATCAGTAGAGTGATGGCCCAAGGGGAAAAATTGTTCCTGTGTTTAGTTGTTTTGGCCTGCAGTGCTCTGTATCTCTGTCCCGAAGGGAGGAGTTGAAACAGATTATGTCCAGAATGTGAGGGACTTCAATTATCTTCTCAGCCCTCCTTCTGACCTGCACAATATACAGGTCTTCTATGGAAGGCAGGCTGGTTGCAATGATTTTTTCTGCAGTCTTAACTATCCATTACAGTCTTACCTGTCCTGTTTGGTTCCTGTACCAAACCAGACAGTTATAGAAGTACATATGAAAGACTCAATAATTCCTCTATAAAATTGCATCAACAGCTCCTGGGGCAGTCTGAGCTTTCTGAATTGTTGCAGGAAGAACATTCTTTATTGTGGATTTCTAATGATAGCTCTAACGTTAAGTGTCCATTTCAAGTTCTGGAAGATTATAGAACCCCAAAATTTGAAGGACTCTGCTGCTGATACTGTGCTATCAAATATGGTAAGAGGTAAAATAGAAGGGTAAAATTCACTCTCATCTCTACAGTTTTAAGCATATTCAGCTCCAGATGAATACGCTTATTCATCTGGACCATAGGGCCAGTTGTTCAACCTCCCATCTATATGCAAACTCATCACCATCTCAAATGAGGTCAACGACAGTTGTATCATCTGCAAACTTCAGAACTTTAACAGAGGGTTCCCTTGAGCTGCAGTCATTGGAATAGAGCAGGGGTATCAAACTCTATTTTATTGAGGGCCGCATCAGCATTGTGGTTGCCCTTGAGGGACTGGGGGGGCATGGGTGGGTGGCCATGGCCGGCTCAATATTGCGTGCGTCGGAGGACTGCCGGGTGGGGCTGTGGGGGGATCCGGGGAGCTGGGACAGAGAGGGTGGGCCCAGGGTGGGCGCCAGGGTCTGGTGCAAGGGAGTAGTCTCGCTGTTCTCTCGGGCTCACAGGGGCTCTGGACAGTGGTGCTCCTGGGGTGCTGGGATGCCAGCACTGCATCCCGGTGCCCGGATGCATTGGGGAAGCTCCAGAACTGGGTTCGGATGGAGCAGGGAGGGGAGTCCCGGCTGCCTCTTGGGGATGGGGGGCTCCCTGCCCTTCCCGTTTCCCAGGACTGTTGGTGTGGTGGTGGGTGGGAGACTTGTCCTGTGTGGGCGGTGGAGCTGGAGGATGAAGTTAGATGGCAGGGGCTGCAGCATGGTGGTGATGGTGACTGGCTGGGCTTTGCTGCCCATGCGCATCTGGGGGGGCCGGATCGCATGCCTCCCCCCACACCTCTGTGTCCGCCTGCCGCTTGGAGAGCTGGCCCAGTGGCCATGGCGCTCGGACCCACCTGCATTGTGCAGGCTGCAGGATCCCAATGGTGCGCCAGCCGACAGGTGGCCGGACAGGCTGGCAGGCTGCTGCCGCTGCCGGGCACTGCTGGCCCCCGCATGCTCACCACCTATGTGCGCGCCCGGGGTGGGGCACCTGGCCTGGCTGGGGTGAGCAGGGGTTGGGGCGTGGGGACCGGTCCCTCACCCTCTCCAGGCTGGCCCCTCGGGTAGGATCTGGGCCCATCATAGGCTTTTTATTTGACATGTCTGGTATAGAGGGAAAAGAGCAACAGAGAGAGCATGCAGCCCTGAGTGGCGCCTGTGCTCATTGTTTGTAGGTTCCTGTCTGATGGTACCTGCAGCATACCTTTGGTAACAGATCTAATGGGGTAGGCTGATGTAACCAGTGAGAAGTATTTCCTCAGATAGCCTATTCCATACCATAAAGAGCTTTAAAGGTCAAAACCAGCATCTGGAATTGGACTCAGAAGCAAACTGGCAACCAGTGCAGCTCGCAGAATAGAAGTCATAACATGTGCTGTTCTAAGAGTACATGTTACTGTCTGCATCGCTGCAATCTCTATCAGCTGAAACTTCTGGATACTCTTCATCTAATTACTCTGCTCTTTTTCTATAATAATTTACAGTATGTAATAACACAAAAGGGATTGAAAATATTAACATTATGAAGTTTAAACCATTAGCCTAATTAAGCAATAAATAATAAGGTGCCATTGTTTCTACTACATGTTTATATACTATCTATATTTCTAAATTTATATTTGTATCTAGTTTATTTTTAGAGCACTATAGTACAAATAACTGCAGTTTTCAGTTTAAATTAATGAAAAAGAAAAGATGTAGATTTATTAAAAAATGTGTCATTTAATAATTCTAGCTAAGTAGTTAATTATTACAAAAATTGAAAGGAATAGATGCCTATTCAAGGGAACTGCTGATCGTGGGGTTGGCAATTCTGAAAATGCTGTTCTTTCTATCTTTCATAAATTAATAATTATAGTTCTAAGAATTACAGTTCTTAGAGGACAGGAGGACAACTTCAGCAAGTATGCATTTTTTCCCCACAATGCTCATCTGTGGATATAGGCTAATGAGGGCTGTAAGAAACTAGTAATAGAAATTGGGGATGTCCCTGTTAGTGATACCCAGGCTATTTTTAATGGATTGTGTGTTATATGTGTTACAGATTCAGATTTGAATTTTCACAAATCTGGAAAAATTAAACGAAAAAAAGGCCACAATAGAAATCAATATAATTTGTTCAGTTGTTGTTTTCCTAAATGAAATTAGAGTGTAGCAGATTTGAGACCCACCGAGAAGAGAGGAATGTTGCTTTAAATGAACCATAATAGTTTCCTTCCAGAGGAAATAAATATGAACTATGATATGTAATATTATTAATTGTATTATTTTACAGATGCAAACAGACGTGTGTCAGGAGGTGCTATGCAGCTGTCCTTTAGTCAGTTAACTATAGACTACTATCCATTTCACAAAGCAGGTAAAAGTTGAGTTTTGTTTACTGGTTGCCAAACTGCTTGATCAGCACTTTATTTTTCCACAGTAAATCTTACATATGATATATTATTGACTAAAGTGAATTGAGGATGCTGCAGATATGAAATTTTGCACAATAGGTTATATTGTATGTTATCACAGTTCAAAAAGATACTTAAATGCTTGGAAATAGTTATTTATAATGTTCTGAGAATTTCAGTTATTCTTAGCAGCTCTTAAAACAGCCGTTCCCAATCTGTTGTCATCTAGATGTCTTCAGTAAATACACTCATCATCCCCAGCCAGAACTCCAAGGTTTCCAAACTGGAAAGGATTTGAAAAGAATAATAAAAATCATTAGGTTTGAAGATAATTCCTATGAAGAAAGGCTTTGATGTTTGGCCTTTCTAGTTGTGGTAATTGTGGTCATTACAGTGGTGTATAGAATTATATATGGAATGGAGAAAATTCTAGAGAGAATTTTTCCTCTCTTAATACTAAAGTTTAAAGTTATCCAATAGGGATATAAGGATAGTAAAAAAAGTATTGTTTTAGACAGCGTACACAAGTAGTATTTGACTTACAACCACAGATGGGACCAGAATCTTGGTCGCCATTGAGCAAAGTGGTCATTAAGTGAGATGTCACATGACTGCTTCACTCAACGACCACAATTCCAGTATTCCCAGTAATGGTAGCTAAGTAACCTCATGTGTCATTAAGTCCCAGATAAGGAGCACACAGGTACCTTAGAGAGATGGGGGAGGCCCTGGGAAGCTGCACACAAGTTGGAGGATGCTGCAACATGACACAAAGCTACCACAACCTGGGAGGTCTCAGTTGGTCACCTGGCCCACCAGCACTCACAAACCTGCCATGGACATGGACGCCCCAGCTGGCCACATGGCCCAGCAGTGTGTGCCAAACTGCCATGGCCAGATTTGGAGAAGGAGGCTTCTGGAGGTTTGCAGCAATGGAGCCTACTTGAAAAATGCCATGAGATAGTCTTGGGAAGAAGGCCACGCCTCACATAGGCTGGATGTGCTTCTCAGAAGCTGGAGAAAAATGGTAAAGTGGAGTCCCTTGTGCATGCTGGTGGGCTGGGTGGCCAGCCGAGTCCTCCCCAGGTCACAGCAGATTTGCACACGCTGGTGGGCCAGGTGGGTCACTGAGATGGGGGGAGATGGGTGGGGGAATTGTAGTACCCCTGTTATCATAAGTGCAAGTGGGTTGCCAAGCACAACTTTTGATCATTATCATTTTTATCATGGGGATATTGCAATGGCTGTAACTTTAGGCATGGGTCATAAGTCAATTTTTTTCAGCACCATTGTACTTTTGAACAGTTTACAGAACAAATAGTCATAAATTGAGGACTACCTGTATATATGAAATATCAATTTCATTTGTGTTGGTATGATGTGATAAGGACTACTAGGTTAGATGGCTTGAAGGAGATTGGATTAAGTGATGGAGGAGTAAGTGACTATTAAGTATGATATGGGTATTGGACTTCCAGGTTATAGGGACACGGTGCCCTTGAATACCAAGTTTTGAAAAATAATAATGGAAATTTATTAGAGAGCTCAGGGCTGCTTCATGAGGCATTTGAATAGAATGAGTTTGAGAACATCCCAGTTGGGTAGAGGAATCAAAAGGAGAATTAGCATGGACTTGGTATGTAAACAAAAGAGGGCAAGGTCTAACTCCATCCTTGAATGCCTTTGAGCCTTATTTAGTCTTTCCCAGGTGAATCTGCCAATCTGGGAAGATTCCTGTGAAATAGGCAAATAACAATAAAGTAGCTAGTTTGAACTCTGTACATGTGGGCCTGGTTGTGCCTGACAAATGCTGGATAACATGGATCTTTGAAATGATATAGTAAAAGCTTTTTAAAAATTCATTACATCTTTACTGCCTTAATATTGATGTTAGGCAATTACAAACTGGAATCTAAACAAGCTTCAAATATATTAAATTATTATAAATTATTAAATTATTAGGTGCTTAAATTTCCTTTTCATTTATATTAAATATATACAATTGTAGATGAGAGCTGCAGCCATTGGATGCATTACAGTGATGCTACAAAAACCAGAAGTGAATGGGCAGAAGAACTGCTGCAAGAGTTCAAAGGAAATATTGAATTGCTTAAGCAGGCTGTGAAGGATCACAGTTTAGATTCTCCAGTTAAATCCCCATTCCAGGAGTCTCCACAGCATATGCAGATAGGTATTTAGGATTTTTCATTTTTACAATCTATTTGTGGACACAGGTCCTATTTGATTTGATTAGAATCACCAAAACATTTGTTTTGAATACATTTGGCTGTCTTTCCTTATATTTTGGTAATCTTTATTCATACTATATTGTAGTCTCCCATGTACGTAAAAAATTAATTTGGGAGATTGATGCTTATAGTTGTGAAGATAAATAATTTATTAGGTTTCCAATCCTGTATGAATTGTGCAATTAATGAGTCGATTTATATTTGTTTCCTTTCATTGCCTTCTCTTATTGAAATTTTAGTTTATTTTAATTATTTTTACATTACCCAGCAACATGAATAGAGGGGATTTTAGAAGGTAGACTATACTGTATGTGTTTTTATGCTTTTTGTTTCTTGTAGGCAAGGATCAAATGTCAAAAGGAATTTCTAAGTCTTTTGTGTCATCACAGCAGCCAAAGGAGAAATTGATGTCTAGCCCAGTGGTAGTTAGACTTGCAGATGTCAATTTTTATCAGGTACATTTAAATAATAACTACTACAACAAATTAATATTACTCTTATTTTATGTCCAAAATTATGAGGTTCTTAATACAAGTGTTGACTTTAATCCAAATGACAGATTTTGCCAAACTAATTGTTGGCGTAAAGGGATATTTTCTTATTCCAAACTATTTCTGTTAGTTTTTAGTCTTATAATTGGCAGAAAAAAATCTTTGATCAGATTGGATTGCTTCAAATGGACATTATATCATCTGCAGTCACTTTTGCCTTTCTAGTTTATTTCTATCAGAATGAAAATCAGGAACTATTTGCTGGTTGATTTTTTTCCAGGTTTTTTTTTCCATTGCAATTTAATTTGACAGTTGGCCTGTTTCTTAAGCTTGATTTAGACTTGTCCACTACTGCTCATAGACATTGATGCATACCTATGCTGGGATGGGGTTGATGGGTAAGTGTAGGTTACAGATGGTTGCAAATGCATACATCTCCCAAATCCTAACTACACATTGCATGGAGATCTGTGTCTGCATGCTGATTGGCTGATCCAACTTTCTATTGGGAGGCAGGTGGAAGGCAAGGCACACACAACAAAATAGAGGATTTAAGTGGAAATGCAACAGCTATGCAACCATCTCCAAATGACAGGTGCATATGTTCCCTGACATGCAGTGTAGCAGAAATTTGTTCCAGAAGTCTGTGCTCAGCATGCCTCTTAGAAAAATTCTGAGGTCAGGAGAGTTTTTTAAAAAATATTATTACAATTGACTGCATCTTGAGCTTAAGTTATAATTATTTATAATCTAAGCCACCTGTAGAGCTTTTATGAATAATCATATCTGCTTATAATAAGCAAGCAGTTATTTACCATAGTTTTTGTTTTATATGATGAAAAGTATCACAGTTTATGCACCTCAAAAAGAAATATATTTTGGATTATCCTGTTTGAAGATGTAACAGGTTAACTTTTCTGCTGTGCTATATATAAAGCTTATTAAACCACCCATCTTGGGATATAATTATCTGCTTCCAGAAGGAGAATATATCTGATATTAGATTTAACTTTCTGAGATAAAATTTCTGTGCCTGATCTTAGAGGGAAGAAGAATCTTACAAACATTGATGTCCTAGGTAAACAAGATTGCACTTAGTCAATTTCCTTTAAGATAACTCATTCCTAGGATTATGTAATGTTTGCAAATTATAGTATTAAAAATTTGGCTGTTAATATAAATATATTCTATCTCTAGCTAATACTGTAAATGGTTACTAAAACCTTTGCGTATTCAGGCAATTTAATTTATTTTTCTCATTTTTCTTATTTGATTTGATTGACTTAAACATATAAAATGTATGTGAAAACAGTAAGCTTAAAGACATGGTAACTTATAGTACATATGGTACATACACAAATAATTAACATATAATTTTAAGGTATTATATTTATGTAGCATATTAACACATTTTTAACTGTGATTTTAACACCATTGGAACCAAACTAGGCAAAGGGCTTAGTTATACAACTGTTTAAAATTAAGAAATAATCATTGAAATGTTAACAGCATATTAAGAATGACATTTCCTGGTATGCTCAATACAAATCTAGTACCATGCACCAAGTGTCATAAATGCCCCCCAAAATGTATTTGTCTTCTTCGGGTTATTAAAATGAAAATATTTTTCCTAATAACTGTGAAATGTGACAGGTAAGAAGTTGTTAACTCTTGTACTTCACAAAACCTAAATGCTGAATTTCTTATTTTCAGGTCTCTACAGCAGATCAGTGTCATCGTTCGCCTAAAACTCTTATTTCTTGCAACAAAAAATCTCTGTATCTCCCACAAGAAATGCCAGCCATTCATATAGAATTCACTGAATACTATTATCCAGATGGCAAAGACTTTCCTAGTAAAATGTTTTCTTATCTTTTTCCCTTTGTTAAATCATTGTAGGTGTTTTGAAAGTGGATCTTCAATTTAATGGATTCATATTTAGTGGTCTGCAGATACAGTGAACTGTATTCCTATTTGGAAATCTCCTTCAAATAATGGCAATTCCTTTGAATCCAAAACAGTCTGAACAAGACAGTTAAATTTTGTCATATTTTCTGCAGCTATATAACATAACACAGATTATGCTTTTTTGTATAATTATGTTGGTATACAAAAGATGCAGGTATTACTGAAAGGTATTTGTTAATTACTTTCAAATTCACAGACATTTGGGAATAATGGATACTCCCTGCCCTCAATCCATTAAAATGAAGTTTCAGGGAAGATATATTTATTTCTAGCAGATACATCTAGCAAAAGATTAGGGTTAGGTAGATATTGATAAACCAGACAAGTTGGAGGATTATACCATAGGGCAGTTGACAAACATTTCAGAAGCAAAGTTTAAGACTATTTACTTAGCACCGCATATAACACATTTATCTTGTTCAAAACGTTAGTGTGGATGGTAAAATAATTACAAAGGAATTGTAACTAGAATTGGAATGAAATATTCTAAAAGGGATCAAAGCTATATAAAAAGCTATGTATTGCAATTTTTTGTAAATTTCACTGGTGTTTGTGAATTTTTTTTCAAATCTCATTTCTACTATGGCAGTTATCAAAATATTATTAGAGATTTAGTGCCACACTAAGGAAACCACTGCCATACTAATAACACTGTTTTTCCTTGGAGCCAATATTCTTCAAGCACCTAGCTTATTATAGACATAGTAACTCTACTTTTAAAACATTTTAATATAATTTTTTTTTTATTTCTTTTAGTTCCAAGTGCAAACTTGTATATTCAACTAAATGCACTGCAGCTCACTTTGGACGAGAGAAGTATTCTTTGGCTAAATCAATTTGTATTGGATATGAAACAGAGTCTCAGTCAGTTTATGGCCATGTACAAGTTAAATGACAATTCAAAATCAGAAGAACATGTTGATGTTCGAGTTGACGGATTAATGATAAAGGTACAGTTTGCAAAAGCATAACACAACATTGCTAAGTGTTTCATTCCTATAAAGAATGATGCATGAGAACAGTCCCTGTTTTGAAACTGTGAAACTGTGGAGCCATTTTTAAATGACAGATCATGGACAATGTGCCAGTGATTGTCTTGGTTTCTAACTTTTACAGGACATTTGGACCTTTCAGATTTTTAAATTTTCAAATTTCTAACATAGCTAAAAGATCCTGCATTATTTGAATACATTTCTCAGTATACTACTGATACCATATAATGCTTTCAGTGTGATTGTATATAATAATAATAATAACAACAACAACAACAACAACAACAATAATAATAATAATAATAATAATAATAATAATAGTAATTTAAAAAGTTGGAAGGTACCTTGGAGGTCATCTAGTCCAACCCGCTGCTCAGGCAGGAAACCCTACACCATTTCAGACAAATGGCTGTCCAGTCTCTTCTTAAAAATTTCCAGTGTTGGAGCATTCACCGCTTCTGAAGGCAGGTTGTTCCACTGGTAATTGTTCTAACTGTCAGGAAGTTTCTCCTTAGTTCTAGGTTGCTTCTCTCCTTGATTAGTTTCCATTCGTTGCTTCTTGTCCTGCCTTCAGGTGCTTTGGAAAATAGCTTGACTCCCTCTTCTTTGTGGCAGCCCCTGAGATATTGGAAGACTGCTATCATGTCCCGATAGTATAGATAACATTGATTACTAGCTTTTTATAAAAGGTTTTGACAATTGTGGGGGAATACACATTTAACTATAAGTATTCTATGTTCATAAATTAATGGTAATTCATAAATTAACTAGTCTCTGAGTTATGAGGTGGGAAGTTTTCTTTTAAACTTCCTCCACTCAAACACAACTGTGGGCAGCTTCTAAGTATTAAAGCAACAATATAAATGCCTGGGGCAAACAAATCAACTAGCTGGATTGTTTGAACCTAAAAAGAATGACAGTATAATAGGCACATCAGAAAACAAATATTCAGAGACTCAGTGATGTACCTGTAGCTGTGGAGATCAATTTATAGATAAATAGCATATTGGGGATAGTAGTTGTTTGATAGTCAAGAATATATGGATTCTTTGGGCATAAAAAACTTTAAAAGGAATACATTCCTCTGCAGAATTACAACAAGCTGAGATTTATTATTACTTTGATTTAAAAGTAACCAAAAATCATAAAACAGGGCAGATTATAAGTAGTCAAAATATAATAATAAAAGCAGTAGGATGAAAAAGAAAAAAACATTTAAATAAATAAAAATACTTCTGCAAACAAAAAGTAATTAAACTAGTACTAAAAAAAGGCAGTGATAGTAGCACTCACGTTTACATGAGAAGTTCCATAATTGGAGACTACAAGAGAGAGGACTAGTTGCTATGCAATGTATCCAAGTTATTTTAAAAAATACTTTCTGACCTTATTAAACATGGACTGGATATTATAGCCAGATGTGATCCTTCAACTATTTGAGACCACTCAGGGTTTTAAAGATAAGCAGATCCAATTTCTTTAGACTTAGACTGTTCAATAGTTTCTGTTTGCCCTATAATTAGTTTGTCATTCACCCTATCCTGAGTGCAAGAACAATCCTCCACCTAGTCCAAGCCTACTGCAAATACATTCCCAGCCTCTGTTTTGAAAAGTACTTTAGAAGTATTGTTTTATATTCAAGGTCAAGTTAAGCCATTTTGAGTATTTAATCAACTGTGCTTTATTCCTGTTTAGTACATCTGCAATTCCAATTGTCTGTAGTGCTTGACTTGCCCATTGTCTCTGGTGGCTGATGATTTTTTCAACGATGAGTTGCTATGGTCTTAGCTAGTCAGTAACTTCCCTTTTTTAATTTCTTCCAGCTAATCCAATGGCTCATAAACATCATGGAGTCTAGTATATTCATTCCATTCCATTCTGTGGGCAACCTTATAGTTCCTACCCATCCTCTCCTTTCTTTCCTACACGGTGCCCACTGTACTGCAATGGTTCTACCTCCCTTCTTTCCTGAATATTTGAACAATGTTACAAAGTTTCTTTGCTTCCTTAAATTTCAACTATCAATTCTTTATTAACACAAAATTTCTACCCACCCATAGTGGAATAAAGGAACAATCTGTTCCCTCTGCTTTAACAATGGTAGCATTGAAGTTATGATATATTAGCTTCAAAGGAGAAACATGGGAAAGATGTATGAAGCCATTCATGTATGCAACATCTGAGAAACAAATGAACAGGAACTAGTAAGAAAGTAGCAATATTTAAAAGGAGAAGGGAGGAACTTGTAACACCACCAGCACAGGAGCCAGGTAGCAAGGGTTACTTTCCCTTCTTGCGTGGAAAGAGCAAGACAGTGGAATGATCAATCAGATCCTGTGATAGCAGCATACCTCTGCTCTCTAGCCTTGAATTTTTAAATTCAGTTTTCAGGAACAGGTGGGAGAAGTATGGGAAACAAGCAGTGTAGGTTTCCAGGTAGAATTGCTCCTAAAGAAAATGAGTAATCAGTACAGTTTCTTCAGAATGGATATGTGATTCCATATGACTACATTATTCACAGTACTAGCTGTTGTAGTCTGAACTAGCTGTAACTCACACTTTATCTTCAAGGTTTTCTCTATATTTTGCTTGTTAAAACTAATCGGATTGAAAAGTTATTAGAATATAAACTACCATAGTGAGCTTTTACACAGTGGCCCCTGCTCTATGGAACATTCTTCCTTTTGAGATTAGAATGGTGCTGACCCTGTTAGCCTTTCATAAGGCCCTAAAAACCTGGCTTTGTTCTCATGCCTAGGATGCTGAATGTGTTAAGGGCCCCATTTCCTGGCTGTCTTGCTAAGTAGCCAAGTATCTCAGCTGCTATGTGTATTTAATTTGGATGTTTCTATTGGTTTTTATTGTTTTAAAATGTTTTTAGTATTTTCATACATTTTTGAACTGTAAGCCTCCCAGAGTCATTGACTGAGATAAGAAGCTATAGAGATTAAAATTAAATTAATATTAATTAATTAGACTTGAGACCAAATCCAGTACCAGCCATTGCAGACTGCTATTTTCCTCATTCTCTTATTCAGCTGTTTTGGGGATTGTATAACCCACACTTTGGGGAGCTATATATATTAATAACTTTTATGTGTATTGATCAGATACTCCTTGGACAATTTACTTTTCTTTCTTGTTCCTAACATTTGAAGAATATTTATTCAATGAATTCTGTTCGATTCAGTTTTCTAACTAAGTTTATTTTTTAATCATTGTAGCTCATCATTCCTTCTGAAAGGAAGCAAAAACATAGAGATGATCCATATGCAATTTCCATTCAGAGTTCTGAAATGGTTGCTACAAATGCTAGACATTCAGCAAATTGTAGACACTCTGATTTGGAAGCAGCATTCCAAAACTTCAAAGACTCTACATTCTTCAGTAGAACTTTCACAGAGTTTCCCAAATCTTCTGACTGTTTTAATCTTTTGCATCCCATTTTTCAAAGACATGCCCATGAACAAGATACAAAACTGCATGATATCTATAAAGGTATTATTACTCCTCAACTGAATAAATGTGCACTTAAAACCTCAGCTGCATCAGATGTTTGGGCAGTGCATTTTTCCCAATTTTGGATGGACTATGAAGGAATGAAAAGTGGGAAAGGACGGCCGATAAGCTTTGTGGATTCATTCCCACTTACACTTTGGATTTGTCAACCTATGAGATGTGAACAGTCATGCAAAGAGCCTTTTTGCAATCAGGAATCTCTCAACAGTTTGAAAAGTGAGTCTTGTGATCTTGCTAATCGCCTCCAGCATAAAAAACGTCTGAAAGAGTATTATAGTACTGAAATGGAAGCCTTCATCAGTGGTACTGAAAATGTGGGCTCCACTAAAAGCACTTTAGAATCTCAGTCTGCATATGTTGCAGACATTCATGTTTTACTTCATATTCAGAAACATGTAAGCATGCAGATAAACCATTACCAATATCTTTTCTTACTTTACCTACAAGAATCTCTTGTGTTACTCTTGGACAACTTGAGGAAAGATGTAGAGACTGTGACAGGTAATCCAGCAAAAGAGGCAAATGTCTGTATTGGGATCTTATTGAAAAGTGCTGACATAGCTTTGTTGCTTCATCCACTAGTGCAAGGAAGCATGTGCAATCCTCCCATTTTAGAACAAGGAGGTCCAGGGACATCAGATCTCTTACCCATGGAAAACAGAGAAGCTTGTGAATCAAAAAGCAAGCTACTTTCTACTTCTACTACACAGATGAACAATTTAGATATTAATGCTGTAACCAACTGTGGGTCTCTGAATACTAATCTTAATCTTTTGATGAATCCAGTTTTAAAATCAAATAGTGATATGGATTTGCCAAGCGAAAGTTCATTTTTGAATGATGCAGCAGAAAAACATTGGAGGAAAATGAACGAAGAAAGTAATAGTGGGCTTTTCAGTCATAGTGATTCAGAAGAAATTTGTGAATCACCAAGTGACAATTCCTATCCTAGAGAATTGGCTGATATGTCAAATTGCAGAGAAGACCCTATCAAAATGCTGATGGACAAGGAAGAAGAGAAAAGTGGTTTATCAAATAACAAAAGTAAAGCAGAATGCTCAGCTGTTAAAGTCATAGAAACTGAAACTGATTCTGTGGGACAGTCTGAGAAGTTTGAAAATGGCAAAGAAAAATTGAACACAGCAAAAATGCTTGCATTTCAGTCTCCATTAAGGTACAGAAAATATTCTACAAATTAACATGGTTTAGATCTGGGGCTTAAGGTCAGCAGAGTAAAATTAGAGGGATTAAAGATATTCTGAGTCTTTAGATTACTTGTTGATATTACAAAGCTGGAAATTGGCTGTCAAAATTTTAATGTGGTTTTTTTGGCATATTGCATTGCATCTGTTCTATAGTCATAATTTACCAGATTAATCATTTAAACCCTGTTTATCATGCATTTCTTGGCTAGCAGCTACCATACTTATAGGAATGCTTCATGTAGAACTGAATGATACAATATATTGGAACAATAATCAGTGTGCAGTTGGAGCTGGAGAAATGTTCCTAGTGGTTGGAATGAATCAGAAGGCATCATCATTTTTTCATACTCCTACCTATTACATTCTTGTGTTACAAATTCATTTATAAAATGGTGGAGGTTGTGAACATTGCATGGATTTCCTACAATACTTACTTTAGGAAATTTATGAAAAATGCAGTTGCTCGCTAGATAAAGGATTTTCTCTTTATCTATGATCGCTTGTCAACTTAAAACAAAATCACAAATTGTATCATTCTTTAATATGTACATAGACTGTTAGTTCTACTAGTTACAGGATTGTAATCTGATTACTGAAGTCAAGCATGAAAATATTACTGGGTATAATTACTACTTGTGATTTCAGAATATATTTTCATCAACATTTCTTTTAATTACAGATTTTAAAGGATTTTTATTTTATTTTGTAATTTTTTCTACCTTAAGTAATGATTTCCTAATATCTTTATATCAAAAAGTGGAAAGCCTAAGGAATCGTGCCAGTCCAATCTTCCTGCATTCTCTGTTTCTTATAAGAACATGAAGAAAAGTCCATCACAAGCCTCTTTGGATACCATTTCTACTGACAGCAACGTATTTGAGGATCACTGTTTGGAAAGTGATGGAAGTGACAGCCAAAGCTTTTTGGAAAAAGGTATAAAATATTTCTGACACACTTTTGAATATAAACAATACTATCTCTTTTCTTCATTAGTACAAGAACTAATTTTAGTTCCTGTTTTAAAAATATTTTATATATTTCAAATGTATCTTTTTGGCCTACAATAAACAAATTACCATAATTAGAAAATATGATATATTGATGGCTCTTTCATTATTGGTTTAATATATCACCAGAGAGTCTCAGTTTCAAATAACTGTCAATATGAATGCAAGCCAACTGAAATTCATTCATGGCATATTCATCATTGATGAATTTTTAATTATGGTTAAATGGTGATTGTAAGGCAAGGAGCAGATTCTGTGTGTGTGTGTGTGTGTGTGTGTATAACAAGCATGGAATTATGTTTTGCATTGAGCATATTTACTATAATTTGCAAAGTTATGGGTACTTGTTTATTTACTGTTACATTTTCAAAACTTAAAAACTTTAGAGAAGTTTTAAATACAATTCAAGAAAGAATTCAAACAATCAGGGTTTTTTGGTAGCTTCATAGTAGGAATCTGCATCCTGACTGTCTGCAGTCTCTCTGCCTATCAGCTAACTAGATCAGAATGTGATATCCTTTTTATCTCTCCCTCCCATCTTAAATGACAAAATTTAATCAAATTAAATTATTTAAAACCAGTTTATTTTATGTAGTTTGATGTGCAACCAGATTAAGCTACTGTGAATGTTTGCATATGAATATTCAACCTTCATTCTTTTTTCACAATGTGAATCTGCCAGCTATCTTATCCAATAAACCCGTGGAAAATATGCCTGATGAAGGCACAGAGAACGAGAACTATGGTGAATCATCCCCAGATGTCCTCAGTGCCATTTCAGAGGGAACTCAGGATGCTAGTGAAGAAATGGTAATGCTCTAAAAAAAAACCACTTTTATATATCTAAGCAACTCTTTGGAAAACTGAAATACTTATTTTTGGTTAATTGTAGAATGGGCGGGGGGGGGGAAGTAATGCATGGCCATGATAAAAAATGGTGCTTGCCGAACAAAAATGCAACACAATTTACTACTTTACTGTTGTCATAAAAGTTAAATAAACTTTTGATTTGTACCTCAGACTCTACTAAATGTTTAGAGTTTTGAAGTGCTTCAGTAACAAAAAAATAGAATAAAATGTTGCCTTGTTCAGCTATAATTTTCAGGAAATTAGACCTGAAACCCCAAACCCCTAGAGAACAGGAGGTGGATGGGGCTAGCAGATTTAATTAGTTCACAAACAGTCCCCTGTCTTTTCTCCAGACAAAATGGATATCTTTGATTGGTAGAAAGGCTGCTTGGAAAAATTTGGCTTTTATGGGGCAGTCCTATTCTTCAAGAGTTACAGTGGTGCTTTAAAATTTGTGAGCCCTTTTGGATTTTCAATGTTCCTGCATAAATATGCCTAAAATGTGATCTGTTGTACACACATGTTCTAAAACTACATAAAGAGAATCAAATTAGAACAAAGGAGTAAAAAAACATTACACGTACTCATTTATTTATTGAGCAAAATGATCCAAAGCTACATATTTGTGTGTGACACAAGTATGTGAATCTTTGCTTTCAATAACTGGTATGCCCTGCTTGAGCAACAGTAACTGCAACTAAACATTTTTGACAGCTTTTGATCAGTCCTACACATGGGCTTGGAGGAATTTTAGTTGATTCCTCCTTATAGAACCGCTTCAGTTTTAGGAAGTTGGTGGACTTCCTCTTGTGGATTACCCACTTCAAGTCCTTCCACAATATTTCTATAGAATTAAGGTCAGGACTCTGACTTGATCATTCCAAAACATTAACTTTGTTCTGCTTTAACTAATCTTTGGTGGTAAGACTTGTGTGTTTTGGGTCATTGTAAGATAGTAGAACTTTCTAGGAGCCATATTTAAACTCTGTATTTCGTCTTCAAAAAAGGAAAAAAAATGGATCCAGGGAACTACAGACCTATCAGCCTTACCTCAATACCTGGGAAGATTCTGGAAAAGATAAACAACGAATCAGTGAACACCTAGAGGCAAACAAAGTCATTATCAAAAGGCAACATGAGTTTGTCAAAAACAGATCATGCCAGACAAACCTTATTGCATTCTTTGACCAAGTGACAAAATTAGTGGACCAGAGGAATGTTGTGGATATAATATACTTGGATGTCAGTAAGGCATTTGATAAAGTAGATCACAACCTACTACTTGATAAGATAGAAAAATGTGGGTTAGATAGCATCACCACCAGATGGATTTGTAGCTGGCTGACCAGCCATACTCAGCATGTGGTCCTCAATGGAACTGCATCTACATGGAGGGAAGTGTGTAGTGGGGTGCCCCAAGGCTCTGTTCTGGGCCCAGTGCTCTTCAACATCTTCATCAATGATTTGGATGAGGGGATAGATGACCCAGGACAGTGCAACTGTCATAAATATGAGCCAGTTACCAAGGTTCTGAATTTGATTATATGGCCATAGGGATGCTGCAATGGCTGCAAGTGTGAAAAATGGCCGTAAGTGACTTTTTTTTAACTTTGGATGGTCATGGAATGAAAGGTTGTAAGTCGGTGACTACCTATACTAAATGGTTGCTTAGCCTAACCTCTCTCTATAAGCTTTTTTTTTTATGTGTCTGAAAACTTTTCCAGCTGCATTGATTCTGTTTCAGGTACTATATTACTTGTAACAAAAGTTTTTACTTGAGATCATAGATGTATTACACATCTACACATAGATATATATATATTTGTAATTTAATGAATATATAATTAACATATTTGATTTAGCAAAGCATCTTAGTATCTTGGAACTAAAAATATTAAAAATCCAAGCGAATGTGAAAAACAGACTATAGTGGTTACTATTAGCATCTATAATAATAAGTCTAACTTAGATCAGATATAAACAACTTTATTTAGCAGTATACGGAACATTTTGAGATCAAAACGTTTTGCCTAAAAACCCAAGAATTGTCTCAAGCTAATTCACCCATCCTGTAAAGTATTTTGTTTCAAACTTGAAACATTTATGGAATGATGGGAACAACCCATGTTAAACTTGAAACAATTGTTTTTAGCCCAAAATGAAGTATTTCAAGTTAGAAACATTTTGAATGTGAAACGTTTTGTACATCCCTGATTCAGAGTGAGCAACAAAACTTCCTAAAAGCTACTAAATTATGCAAACGAAGTATTTGAAAAAGAAAAAAAACTGTCTGACTCTTAACAGATTATTTGCATTTTTTATTTTGTTGACAGATGTCAGTGGTAGTTTTTAAAATATTTGGTATTAATGGTGAAATTGACATCAGAGGTGAAGACACAGAAGTATGCCTCCAGATAAATCATGTTTTACCAAATCAGCTGGGCAATATCAGTGTTCGACATTATCTTTGCAACCGAACAGCAGGTAAGAAATAACACAAAATGGCACTAACAGTATTTTCACTTTAGTAATAGTACCATGAACTGCTCTTTTTGTTAATTAATTATAAAAAAATATGTTTTTGTGTTGGACATACATAGTTTATAGGCCTATCAATGTCTGTATGTACTTTTTTTTTTTAAAAAAATGGAAACTGACAGTAATGCTTTTTTTTTGAACTTCAGAAATTGAAACAACTACTTAATCTTGTTCAACACTTGCATCAGCTATATATATAGTTGATATTGTAAAATGCAAGTTATTTCTCACCATAGAAAAAGGAAGAGCAGATTCCAAAACAGTAACAGTAACAAATGCAGAGTGCCCTGCCTTCCCAAAAAGGGCAGTTCCCCCTATGCTGAAAAAAATGCGAGGAAATTGATAGTTTTGCTGTCATTGATTCCCCTACCTCTCCCTCCCTCCCTCCCTCTTTTTCTATGCACACACATACACACCTCATATGAAAGTACAGGACTTGCTGGAATTCTTATTCCTTGGATTAACTGCTTTAATCTAGACTGGAAAGAGGGAAGCTTGACAGTAATATTGTCAATAATACTATTCAATACATCTTAACATGAAGCATTGGGAGAAATGGCTTTAGGCAAATAAGAATGCATGAAAATGTGAGAGGAAGAACATGCCATACTTTATTAATTTTTAAAATTTCTATGGGGTTAACTTTCTATTTATAATGTAAAATTATGGGGGCAACTACTTATCAAAAAATAGATCCCTTTATTTGGACTGCTTTTATATCATATCAAAAATAGGCTCTATAGAGATGCATTTAACAACCTATAACCTAATTCCATATTTAATTTTATAACAGGTTCGGATCCTAAATGTACAGCTGGGCCAATTAAACCAGTTCCTGAAGTAAGGCTGAGATGGGAAAGTGGACCAAGTGCTGTAATACATTCATTGAAATCTGAAAAAACTGGGTTTCTACAATGTCATGTAGAAGATTTTACTGCTGATTTCCTAACTTCTTCACTTATGAACATTCAGCGGTTCTTGGAAGATGAAATGCTTGCAGAAGTGATGCCTATGAATGTAAAAATTTCTAATACAAAAATCAACATAAAAGTATGTCATTTTTAGTGAGCTTGATACTTTATTTGATTGAAGTTTGTATTCACTATATGAATAGTCCAACTTTTATAGAAACTGTTTCTTTAAAAAATTACTTAATAGTTCCCATGACTGAAGCAAATATCTGTATATTTTTAAAAAGTGTTATTGGATTTAATCTGCCTTTTGTATAGGGATTTCTCGAATTTGCATTGTAAATAATAATAATAAAGTTGGAAGGGATCTTGGAGGTCATCTAGTCCAACCCCTGCTCACGCAGGAAACCCTATACCATGGCAACTGAAAATATTAAACAGCAGTGGTTTAATTATGATCCATATCACTAACGTATTTAATTTAAACTGGTTTATCATTCTTTTCAGATTTAGCCATTTATTTTTTTATATAAGATTTTTATTGATTTTTTCATACATTCAATAGTACTTGTTCAACAAACGTGATGTCTGAGTTTACATTCACTAATACAAATTTAATTCCTAATCCTTTATTCTTTCCTCTAGCCATTGACAAAATAAGTCCCAAGTTTGATAATATTCCTTTCTTCTTTTTCTTTCAACCTCAGTCAGTCTATCAATCTCCACACATTCTAGTATTTTTTTAATTATTTCTTCATCTAATAGTATTTCTTCATTTTTCCAATACCGCGCGAATATAATTCTTTCCGCTGGTGTTACATGTAAATTAAATATATGATTTGTTTATCAATCTTTTCTGGCATTATACCTAATAAAAAAAGTTCAGGTTTAAAATCTACATATTTTCCCAAAATCTTTTCTAGCCACGTATGTATTTTTTCCAATAACTCTTTGCTTTGGCACATGTCCACCTAACATGGTAATAAGTACCTGACTTGTGTTTGCATTTCCAACATCTATCTGACATGTTTTTAAACATTTTTGCTAATCTTGCTGGTGGCAAGTGCCATCTATAAAACATTTTATATAAGTTTTCTTTATAAGAAGTTGACATTGTCCATTTATAGTTTCTTTCCCACAAGCTTTGCCATTTTTCTAATTCTATATTATATCAAAAAAAAAATTCCCATCTTATCATTGTTTCTTTAACTTGTTCGCTTTCCATTTTCAAATTTAGTAATAAATTATAAATTTTCTTAATTAGCTTCTCATCAGAGGTTAATAATATTATTAGGTTTGCTCATTATAAAATCCATACAGTTTAACAACTTTGTCATATCTAGCTTCCATTTGTAAGTATGCCCATCATGATAGATTGATACCCTGGTTTTCCATTTCTTGTTTAGATTTTAAGTTCCCTTCAGAATTTAGAATATCTCTATATGTCTGGATTTTTTCAAAATTAACTAAATTTGGATGTACAAATGCTTCCATTGTTGAAAGCCAACCTGGAATTTTCAGATATATTTTACATTTTATTTTTTCCCATGTTGATAATAATGCATTTCTTATATAGTGGTTTTGAAAAAAAGTGTGCCACCCCAGTTGTAAATCACATCCCTCCAAATATAACAACCTTTTGTTTCTAAGAATTATCCATTCTTTTACCTGTGTTAATACGGATGCTTGATAATATAAGATCCACTCTGGCAAACCAAAACGTCCATTTTCCTTGGTTTCTTGTAACATTTTCATCTTGATTATAGCTTTCTTTCCTTGCCAAATAAATTTCAAAATTAATGAGTTTAAATCTTCAAAGAATTTTTTCTCAAGTTTTATAGGTATTGTTTGGAATAGAAATAAAAATTTTGGTAGTATATTCATTTTCACTGTAGCAATTCTTCCTAATATCGACAGTTGCAGGTTTTTCCATTTTTCCAAGTCCAATTTTATTTGGTTCAATAATTTTGTATAATTATCTTCTTTTATCGTTGAACATCTTGCTGTTAAGTATATTCCCAGGTATTTAACCTTTTTGACTATTTGTAGTTCTATTTTTTCTGACATTTGTTTGTTTTGCTTATCTGAAAGATTTTTAACTATTACTTTAGTTTTTTCTCTATTTATTTTCAATCCTGCTATTTCTCCATACTGTTCTATCTTTTCCAGTAGTTTAGGAATTGTCTCCAAAGGTTCTTCTAAGATAAATACCAAATCATCTGCAAATGCTTGCAATTTGTATGTTTCACCTTTTATTTCTAGTCCTTTAATTTCTATATCTTGTCTAATATTTTTATTTAGAACTTCCAAAGTTAAAATAAATAACAATGGAGATAACGGACATCCTTGCCTTGTCTCAAAGTTATCTTATCTCAAAGTATAGTCTCCATATATAATCACTTTCGCTGTTTGTTTATTATATATTGTTTTAATCATGACAAGTTATAAAGCTAAAAATTCGACTCTTGGGTAAATCCATGATAAAACCAATAAATATCGATCACCAAGAGGAAAGTAATAAATAGTAAAAAATTTAATGAGCCGAGCTTTCATTGGGCCCACCCAACATCATCAGGGCTTTAAAAGTAGTCACTGGGAAAGAGCTTTTATAAGATGTTAACAGCCTGCATCCGGCTTCTGGAAAGTTAACGAGGAGAAGTTAACGAGGAGAACATTTACGGTAAAATATGGAGGAGGTATGGAAAAACATCATGCGTTGATGTAGGTAATACATCTAGGATACAACACGAACAGCTGGGTCCGGTGACACGTTCCAGAAGCTGGATGCAGGCTGTTAACATCTTATAAAAGCTCTTTCCCAGTGACTACTTTTAAAGCCCTGATGATGTTGGGTGGGCCCAACGAAAGCTCGGCTCATTAAATTTTTTACTATTTATTACTTTCCTCTTGGTGATTGATATTTATTGGTTTTATCATGTTTTAATCATATTTATAAAGTTTTGTCCAAAGTCCATTATTTTTAATTGCTGAATCATACACTGCCAGGAAACATTATCAAACGCCTTTTGAGCATCTAAAAATATTGGTGCCAGTTGTTTTCCTTGATGCAGTTCATAATATTCCAATATATCCATTATCACTCTTAGTTTATTTTTAATTTGTCTCTTTGGTAAAAATCCATTTTGGTTTGAATGTATAAGTTCAGTTAAAAATCTTTTCAGTCTCTCTGCTATAATTGAAGTAAAAAAATTTATAATCCACATTTAATAATGATATTGGTCTGTAATTTTTTATCTGTGTCAATTCTGAATCTTCTTTTGATATTAGGGTAAAATTTGCTTCTGTCCATGTATTTGGAAGTTTAGCCTCCAACAAAAGTTCATTATACATATCCTTCAATGGTACACTTAATGTATCTTGTATATATTTATATAGTTCCGCCGGTAATCCATCTGGCCCCGGCGTTTTCTCATATATTTTTTTTTGTCTTCTTATTGCCTCTGTTATTTCCATCATTGTTATTTTTTCCTCTAACATCATTTTAAAGTTTTCTGAAATTTTTGGTAAATTATTTTCTTTCAGATATTGAATCATTTTCTCCCGTGGAATTTCTTCTATATCATACAGTTTCTTATAGTATTCTTTAATTATCTTTTGTATTTCTTCATTTTTAAATTGTAAGCATCTTTTTTCATCTACTAAGTTATTTATCAATTTCTTCTTCTGTTTTTTGAGTTTATAAGCTAACCATCTTCCTGGTTTGTTTGCATTTTCAAAAAAGTTTTGTTTTGTTCTTTTAATTTGCTGTGCCAATTTTTCTGATTCCAACAGATTTAATTTATGTTTTATTGTTTCTATTTTTCTTTTCAATGTTTTCTTTTGAGTATTCATTTGTAGTACTAATTCTACTTTTTCAAATTCTTCCCTTAAAAATATATATTGTTGTCTTTTTTCTTTATTTTTTTCGCCGTATATATTATAGCTATACCTCTAAAAATGCTTTGGCTGTATCCCATACGTTTTGTAGTGTTGTATCTTTTTTTTTTGTTTTCTTTAAAGAAAAACTCCATTTCTTTTGTTGCTAATTCTATAAATTCTTTTTCTTTTAATATAGATTGATTCAAAGTCTATCTTAGTTTTTTTGATATTCCTTTCCATGTCATTTTTGTCTGCCATGTACCTAGTTCTATCTGCCATGTACCTAGTTCTATCTCAATCTCCTGCATACTTGTCCTTAATTAATATGTCATCCAAATCATGTCAATTCTGGACCAGGATTTATGATTGAATAAATATATATTGTAATTTTCCTGGGTTAGTTTCCCTTCAGACATCTTGTACCCCAATTTCCTCTATCATATTAAAAAAAAGTCTTAGGTAATCTTTTTCTTGCACTTTTTACTGTTTTGCTACTTTTATAATCTAATGTCCCATCCAATATTGCATTGAAATCTCCTACTAAGCAAATATTTTCTATTATTTTTCTATGGAGATTTTGATAGAATTCTTCCTGTTTATTATTTGGTGCATATATTACTACCAACAATGTTTGTTTTTGATGTAGAAGTATTTCTACTATCACAATTCTTCCTTTTTCATCTGAATAAATCATTTTAGAGTCTATTGTTTCTTTGATATATACAGCTACACCTCTTTTTTTCTGTTGCGCTGATCCATGGTAAAGTTTCCCAATTTTTGGGTATTCCAATAGTTTGCAGTATTGTCTTTTTATATGTGTCTCTTGCAAACAAATTATATCTATATTTAGTTTCCATAGATTTCTGAAAATTGTATTTCTTTTTGAAGGGGAATTCAGTCTGTTTATGTTCACTGAAAAAAATCTGTTTTCTTTCTCCATTTTAATTACTTATATTTAGGTCTTGTCGATCTTGTAGTCCTCTGGTCTCTTGCTATTCCCTCACTCTCTTGATCAAGCTTCTCTTTCTGTTCTTCTGTTTGTTTAGTTGCTTTCTCAGTTGTTTCTTCTGTTTGTTTCTGATCTTTTCTCTCCTCTTGTTGATGTTGTACTCTTTCATTTAGAAATGCTTTATTTTCTTTCATCAAAATCCTGTGCCTTCCAAACTGAGTCCAGTCGATATCTTATATCATTCCAGTTGATTAAGATCCCTTCTGGCATCAGCCATTTGAAGTTTACACCTTTTGCAATTAGCTTTGCAGTTAAGAAGTGATATTGTCTTCGGGTGTCTCTTATTCTCTTAGGGATCTGCTTAATACCACAATTTCTTTATTCTAATATTGTATTGGCTCATTTCTGACTCTTCTTAGTATCTCATCTCTTGTTGTTTTCTTTATAAATCTTACATGGACTTCTCTGGGTAGTTTATATTTCCTTGCATAGCTTGAATTCATTCGAAATATTTCATCTATCTCCATTTGTATCTCTGCTCGGTCTGCTTTTAAAGCCTCTGCCAGTAAATTAATAACCACTACTGCTATATCTTCTTCTCTGTCTTCAGGAATATTTTGAAATCTTAAATAGTGTGCAGCTTTCTCCATTTCTAAAACTGCCACTGCACCTCTAAGCTTTGATTTGCTTGTTCTAATTTTTTATTTTCTTGCATTAGTGCTTCCATTTTTTGTCAGTGTCATCTGATTTATTTTCCATTCTCTGAATTCTTTGTTCATTTTTAACAATCATTTGCTGATGAGCTTCAAATTGTGTCTTTATATCCAGCATTTGTTCGTTTAATTTATCAAAATTACTTTTTGTCTCTTCATGATTTCTCGTAATGATTCTTGAATTAATTTTAATGTGGTTTGTTTACCCCAGGTGTTGTTTCAAAGTCAAAAACTTTTCAAGTTCTTTTAATATTTGATATTGCTGTAGTATCTCCTTTCACCACTAGATGTCCTTATTCACTATATGTCTATATCCGGGTTTAAAACGTTTTTACAAAGTTTTCTTTTAAAGTTCTCTTTAAATTATTTCCCCTGAAAATTGAATCTAAAAAGATTTTCCACATCCCTGAGGGTTAAACAGTGTTTCTTTAAGTCAGTCTGATTCCATTTTTAGGTATTCTTTTATATTCCTTAAATTCCTTCCCCCTCTTGTAGTTTCTTGCAGCTTTTAACTCCCTTCTCCCCTAGTCTTTCTGGGGTCTTTACTTCGGAATTTTTTTCCAGTCAGGGGATCACTCTTTCCAAGTCCATAAGGAAGAGGAATAAAAATAATCAGCTCTTCTGTGGCGCGTGGCAGCTCCTTGCTTTTTTTTCTGGCTGATGATGACTTGGACTGCCTCTGCTTACAGGCAGCCTTTCTTCTGTCCTTTTGAAGAGGTTCTTCGGTTCGTTTGGACTGATCGCTGTCTGAATCAAACTCCCAAAGCTTCCCTTCTTTTTTGTTGCCCCTCCAGGGCAACTTTCCGACCAAACGAAATTGGGTTAAGAAGGCAGAACCCCGGTTTCTTCCATCCGTCTCGTCATAGCATCAGACCGGAAGTCTTCAGATGTAGCCAATTAACCTAGTCCAGAACTCACTCTCAATAGATAGATAATAGCTAGCTAGACAGATAGATAGATATAGCTATATCTATAGTAGATACTGTATATCTACTATATAGGCTGTACTATTATTATTTATCCTTCTTATTATCTTCTTTACTCTCCTTTTATTGGTATAATTATTATTCTGCTGCTTTGCATGTACACTGAGTGCTTCTGTAAATTCCTTGTGCATCTAATCACACTTGGCCAAATAAAGTATTCAATTCAATTCAGTACAGATACAGATACAGCTTTAGCTATATAGATATGTGTCTATATATTTAATGTTCCTATATGAGTACCAGTTCTTATTTACCTTGTCACCTGAAATTTACGGTACTTTATTTCCAGAAAATACTTTTGCATGCAGAATTTAGCCTTAACACAAGTTAATGGTTTTTATATTTTTTGTATTCTAGGATGATAGTCCTCGTGATAGTTTGTCTGCTCCTGAATCAGTTCCAGTAACTGTGCATATTGATCTACTTATGATAGAGAGAAAAGATGATGGCTCATTTTACATTACAGGTAGATCTTTTCTTCCCTTCCCCAGATATAATGCTGGCAACATTCAAAGTAAATACTCTGAAAAATTGATTAAAATCTGCAAGATTTTATTAAATCTTAACATTTTCATAGTAGTAATAAGCAAGGGGGGAAAGCAAACAGCTATTTTTTATATTTCAAATCAAGTTCTATAAGTTCTGTTCATGGTTCATTTCATATTTTTGGCTATTTTTTTAAAAGATATACAATGAGAGTCAATCATTAAGTATTTTAAAATATTAAAATATACAGGTAGTCCTCAACCTATGACCACAATTGAGCTCAACATTTCTGTTGCTAAATGAGACAGTTGTTAAATGAGTTTTGCCCCACTTTACGATCTTTTCTGCCACAATTGTTAAGTGAATCTCTGCAATTGTTAACACGGTTGTTAAGTAAATCTGATTTCCTCATTGACTTTAATCAATCAATCAGAATAGAGCTGGAAGAGACCTAAAAGGCCTTCTAGTCCAACCCCCTGCTCAACTTTGGTTGTCAGAAGATCACAAAAGGTGATCACATGATCCCAGGTCAGTGCAACTGTCATAAATATGAACCAGTTGCCAAGCATCTGAATTTTGATCACGTGACCATGGGGATGCTGCAGTGGTTGTAAATGTAAAAAACGGTTATAAGTCACTTTTTTCAGTGCCATTGTAACTTCAAATGGTCATTAAATGAATGGTTGTAAATTGAGGGCTACCTGTAGAGATAATCCTCACTTAAACTTAATTGGAAGCAAAATTTCCATTGTTAAGTGAAGCAGTTATTAGGCAAAGTATCAGGTGATCATGCTGCTTAGCAACAACAATTCCAGTAGTCTAGTTGCTGTCATTAGGCGAGGACTTGACGTTTCTCCAGTCCTCTGTGAACTGCCTGCTCTGTTCCACTACCTCTTCCCCAGCCAGACCCGGCAAGCTCCCTTTGGCAAACAAGGCTCCACTGTCCTCCTTCACTTGGTGAGCATGTCCTGGGGCTGGATTATGGCCACAGTGGGAGGAAGAAGATGGCAGAGGTCAGCTGGGGATGAGGGGCAGTACAGGTAGCTAGTGGCAGAGTGCATGGCAGCCCAGAGGGCAGAGTGGGGAAGAGGTTGGTGGGGAAGAAGTATATGCTGCAGTCTTAAATGTGGGCTGGTTGCCAAACACCCAAATTTTGATCACCTACAATGGCTGTAACTTTGAAAACTGTCAGTAACTACCATTCATTCAGTTTGAATGGTCACTAAACAAGTAGTTGTTAATCAAGGTTTAAATGTCAAGAAAAAAAATTACTGATGAATCTTAGCTTTCATTAATCTATACATTAATCTTTTACTGTTTGTTAATTTGAATCCCAAACAGGTTAGAAATAAGGCAAATCACATTACTGAAGTGAAGCATTGTTATTGTACTTTCTCCTAACAACACATTTTAATAAGTGGAACAAAATCTCATTACTAAATACTTCATGATTCTTCTGAACTTCATATCTCTATTTATCTCTATTTATTCAGTAAATGTATTAATAATATTTAATGAATAACTGCCAGTTGTAGTTCTCTACTGATTATTTGTCCAAATATTTTCTACCTATGTTAAAGTTTTCTTAATATAATTCCCATTGAACATAGCTGAATTTACTTTAAGAAATCAAATTAAATTGCATTACAATAACCAGTAACCTTAGAAGAATGCAGTTCCAGTTCCCATGTTTCTGTCAACATCATCTGGCAAAGACAGCATTACTGAATCTGGTTTTCCCCCCTGTTTATTATATTACTGTAAATCTTAGTACATTATATTGTTCGGTATAATACCTGTACAGTATTAATTAAAATTGACATTCTATCATTTAGATAACTTAGAATATTTTTTATCTTTACTTTCTAATACTTTATCAGTATTAATTACAATTTAGAATATTAGTATTGCAAGCATAAAATTACTTGACTTTTTCATACAAATTTGAATATATGAGGGAAAAAACTGTTGCGGATTACATCAAATTATTTGTTATGTAATAAAGGATTTTGATCTAGTATGGAAATAAAAAAAAGTGCAAGCAAAAATCAATTTAACAAGAAAAATGCAAAGAAGTCATTTAAAATAAGGAAAAAGAACTATTGGGTTTCTAACTTCCCCTATTTTGTATATCTGCTAATTTAACAAATTTATCATTTTAAGCCACCTTAGAAGCCAGACTAAAATCAATGATGTTTTATGTGCTGTGTGATACATTGTATCTATTGGAACCATTCTTGCTTCTATTAATGTACATATGCTGAATCTGTGAAAGTTTTAGATGTACATAAGATCAGATTCAGAGCATGATTCAAGAGTTTAAAAAATGATTGCTTTAAATCAATTGAAAAGGCATATAGTCCAATTCGGCACTAAATATGAAGCAATTTCTGGCTTTTGATTTGATAATTTAAAATTTTTGCAGGGATAAAACCATCAAGTGGAGTGAAGCTTGGCAGCTTTAAACCAATTGCTGAAGGGGAGCCATTGACTTTTTTTTTTTTTTAGTATTAGATTTAATAAAAAGCATAAAATAGAATAAGCAAAACATTACTGTATACAAAACTGAGTATCTCTTATCCAAAACAATGCAATTAAAATGTATGGTGACATTTTTTTCTTATAAGTAGAAGTTAAATTTCTCATTTGCATTCTTCCCCTCTTATTTCCATATTTTAAAAAATGGAAGCAACTTTTATTTTTTCCCAATTACACAGTCTGTTTTTTTTTGGTTTTTTGCAGAGCACTGAAGTGTCAGAATACTCATAAACTGTTATTAGATAACTTACAAATTATTGTAATTACCTAATTGGAGAATTTAAATTTGGTTCTGTTAATTTCAGACCTAATTGTCTTGAAAACCCAATACAGCTAGGTGAAACAGACAAATGTATGAATTTGTCAAATGAATGTACATCATTAATATATTGGGTTTTTTTGAGAATATATTCAAATAAAATACACTTTGAATAATGTTCAGAAGTTTAAAATCATTTCAATGTAAAAATATCTACATAATTCGTCCATTTAAATCTATGAGAAGTAACGGTTTATTTAGACTACCTATATTAAGAAAAGGGTCCAGGATTAGAATACATTTTTAAAAGATAGATTTTGGGGGAATATTTCTTTCCTTTTAAAATACTTTGAATAATATTGTACGTTTTGAAAAATAAGTTTGATCCCAGCTCTTAATACTTGGATTGATATTGTGTTAATGTTATATGCATTTAACAGCAATATTGGTAAGATGGCATTGAAAATATTTTGTGTCATATCTTTATCAATTTCTGCTTGATATAGTTCATATTGATGTGATGCATTTTACTGAGTTATTGATATCAGTATCTTTGTATAATTCTCTTAATTCTCTGATTTGTCTTAACAGACCACCAAACAGTTAGTAGTGATGCACCAAAGACACAAAGCAGAATAGGCAATCAGGTTGCTGAAGCTGATACTCACAAGAAAAAAATTTTTTGCTCCCAGTCTACACAAACCTCTCCAGAAATTAATACTTCCCAAGAATTTATGACTTTACCTATAGTAATCAAAGAACAGGTAATGAAAAATCTACTATATATTTTGCTTTTCTTTCTTTTCTTTTCCTTTTCTTTTTTTTGGTAAAATTGGTTTTATAATGGCAGTTAAAGATTTTATATTGTAAAAAACAGCATACTCTTTTGAAGGAAACTGGAAGCCAAATCTGGTTTTCCTTGAGTATTTTAAAAGAGTGCAGAATACATTGTTTAGAGCCCAAGATTATAAATACTGTACTCAATAAACAAAAAACTTTTTTGTTACATAAGATGATGACCTCCTATTTATGGGAAAAAAATGAAACACCTTGATGGAAATAATCAGATAACAAGTATATTTTAATTATATGCATAATTGTAAATTATGTACACTTTAAGGAAATTAAATAATGAATGTAAGTTAAAAATAACTTTAGTGGGTAGAAATTTATAATTAGAAATTGACAAATGTAGCCCATTCATAATTAATGGATAAGAAAATTACTAATACATAATTTAAATATCTGAGAAAGTACTCTATATACATGTATGAAAAAGATAGATATCATTTTAATATGTCATGTCAAATAAATTGCTTTTTAAAATGCATTCACAGAAATTTTAAAAAATTAGGTTAATATGTAACAATAAATTACAAACCATGGCTCAAAGCAAAACAGTAGATTTATAACATGTAAACTCAGCCATGGTATTTTTAAAGCCTTGCAGTAGAATACTTTTTTTCTCAATACTAAGTTTAATTCAATATGTTTTTCTGTTAACGAAAGTCATAACATAAACAGTGGTCAGCTGATAGTTCCTGCTTAACATGTTTATGCATATGCAGTATACTTATCCTGTAAAAAGGAATGTTAAGTTGAAGCTTAATCATAACAGGCAGCAGTGCCTTAAATGGTTTCTGGCAAATCTATTCTATCCTTCACAAACATGCTGACATGACTTTTTTTACAAATCTTACAAGTGGTTTTTATGTTTTTTTTATGTTAATTTGGAGCACTATCAGGGTCTCCTGTGGTTAAATTAGTGAAGATAGATGAGTAATTTACATCCAGTTATAAGTAATGATAAAGATCAGAATTGTATTGCAAAGTTCTGAACTGAAAATTTTATCAGTCTAGAAAATAAGGAGGTTTTTTTTTTTAAAAAAAATGATATTAAAAAGGGCTCAAAGTGTATTGCAAAGCACTGAAAAATACAACCCAAAAAGAAACAAAGAAAAAACAAATAGGAAGCACAGAATTCTTTCATATAATGTAGGGGTGTCAAATGCATCATGGCAGGCAAGATGCATCATGGCAAAACCGCGCCCACCCCATTGCCGGCAATGGAAAAAAAGTCACGATACATCGCGACATGTCACGTGACGTTGCAAATTTGACACCCGTGATATAATGTGTTTATAAGGCTATGACCTTATCAAACTTAATTTGGCATCTCAACATTAAAATGGTTTATTGATTGATATTATTTATTTATTTATTTATTTATTACAGCTTGTTGAAGAAAATGAATGTCTAAAACAGGAATTAGCCAAAGCCAAGATGGCCCTTGCTGAAGCTCATTTGGAAAAAGATACCTTGCTTCACCATATTAAAAAAATGAATAATGAAAAATGTTAGCAGATCCTATACATTAATTTGAAACAAGAAAGGACACATTTTATATTAGTTTTTGTTTATGGAACTGAACTCAGAGCAACATTTCTGCAGAAAATTCACTTGTAAAAAGGGATAAGAAAAATTAGATTTTTTTTCTTCTTAAACTCTAAGTTGCAGTGAGGAAGAACAATTGCTATTATACATCATTAACTTGTGAAATAACTGGTACATGAATAAAATATTCCTTTGTCACTGATAGGATAACTTCATCTTCATTTGTGAAGATAAAAAATCTTTGTTACAACAAAAGGATTGTTCAAGGGACATTAAATTTGCACTACACATAAAATAGTCCATTATGAAAATTTGTAATAGTCATGCAGAAATAGTCCAGGCACCAACAGGATGTGCTTAAAGATTAGCACCTCCAACTCTCAAAATGTATAACTTCAGCATCGGAAAGGATAATATGGTAATATATGTTGGGGAAAATTGGAAATTGCACAATCAGTTGGACAATGATTTCTTATTAGCTCACAGAACAATAGGTTGTTAGATCTGAGCTCTTTTTGAGGATCATTAGTCATTTTTTTGCTTTGACAATGAAGCTCAGCCATTCTTAGAAACTTTTAAATTTTTAACAGTTGAATGTTCTTTTATAAATTAACATCGCTGTATATTAATATGCTTAAAAGCAGTTATATAATTATTCGAACTTGTAACAATTTAACAAAATGTAAAGTTGCATTTTATATCACAATTATGTGTAAAAATTAAACTTTAAATTTTCAGTTTAAAAATTGCTGTAAATAAGTAAAGTATACAAACCTGTGCAAAAGATTCTTAAATTTTTAAAACAATAACTAAATCTCTAATAGAACACTTATCAGGATGATAATAGTATATAGGCTATTCAATGATCTTTCTTGATCATTACTTGAAAACATTTTGAGAGGTATGTATTTGCTATACTTGAACTGTAAAATAATTCAGGGAATGATTAATTTCTTTTTTAAAGTAAAAATAAGAGACCAAACAATTAAAATCTGGTGATTGAGTTACTGAATTGGAAATAAAAATAATAATAATTTGAATTGAAATTATTTTAATCAAAGTTTATCTGATGTAATTCATATTTATTGGATTAAAATAATTGAAAATTTTGCAAAAAGATAACAAATCAAGATGTCCGAATTATGTGAAACAATTATGCTTTTATTTTAAAACATAATAGTCTTAATTTTATGAAGATCAGCGTATTTCCCATCTCCTATTCCTTTCAACTGAAATTATCAGTTCATTTATCTTTATTTTTTCCTAAATATTATCTCACCATTGCTCAATGCTTTTTTCTGTCACCTTAATTAGTTTATCAGAAACAAAAGTTATATAACTCTAAGTTGAATCTGCAAAATACTTGACTAAATACATGCTTGTTAAATCCAATTGATTAAAATAGTAAGTTATTTTCCAAATTATTTTTGTACAGGTTATTTATGTACAGTCCATTTTAAAAGACTACACATAACTAACCATTTAATTTGGTATTAAGATTCATTAAGCTTCCTGCAGTTTTATTTCTGAGTAGGCATATATAGAATTATATTACAAAATAAATATATACAGGTAGTCCTTGGTTAATGATAACAATTGGGACTAGAATTTCTAAGGCTAAATAATGCAGTCATAAGGCGTGTTGTGACTGCACAGAGATGGCAGTTCGGGCACTTCCAGTTGCCAAGGTTAAGCAAATTCCACAATGTCACATGGTTGTTATTTGTGACTTGGTGGCTTTCCCGTTCACTTTGCTTGTAAAAAGCCAGCAAAGAAGCTGAGCAACCAGATCAAATGACACGACTGTGGGGACACTGCAGAGGCTGGAACTTTGAAGACTGGTTCTAAGTACCACTTGTTCAGCACCACTGTAAGATGTGTAGGCACTGTAAGATGAAAATTGCTTGAAACTCATACTGTTGTTCTCTTATTTCATGCTTGTCATACTATGATATCATAGCAATGGTTTGGTCAAAAAGAAAATAGAATGTGGTTTTGTGCTTGTTTGAATTAACTGAACAAATCCAGTGCTGTCAGCCTTACCAGGTGGACCAGACAGGAAACACAACCAGCTCAACTAATTCTACTTTACTGTAAAGCTACATGAATAGAAACTTGTAAAAATCTGAAAGTGTAATTCTCCCATTGTCACTTTTATAGCTCAAGGGCATTCCCTTCTGAGCTTCTTGCTCCACCCACTTTACAGCAGTGGGCTATACTGTTTCTTATCTAATTGTTCCCTAGGCAACATCTCTTCACCCAGTCTCCCAAGGTCTTTTCCACCTAACATTAGAAGTGCTACTCTTTTATACACTTTGCTCTTCTTTATAAGAAAAAGATTTTTGAGGTAATAATTTTTAAAACAAAGAATTGTCATGTTAAATGATAGTTTCATTTTCTGATTCAGTTTTTTAAAAAACAATTATTGGTGCTGTGGAAAATAATTGTATTAGCAGATTCCTATGAATGAATTAAGGCCTCTTCATGCTTCCCAATTGGTATAGAAGAAGTGGGTTGGACTTTGCATGATCATATCATCTTTTTGTTATTTATTGCAACACGCATTTTTTCAGGTTTTTTTACATGCCTGAAAAAGAAATGTTGCTGCTGAAATGAATCATATAATTAAAGTAATATGTACTTAATGAGATCCTTAATGTGGCTGCATCTTTTTTCAGCTTGTGTGAAAACCTTAAAAAGAGAAAGGTATGTTTTAATAAATTGCACAGTGGTCTGAAGCACATTCCACAAATTATTTTGAATTGTACATATTCTTATTTCTAGTGTTGAGACAACTTGTAATTTTTTCAGGTTACTTTTCATGTACTATACAACCATAAACCTGGACCTCCCTGTTCTCTGCTACAGTTTATGTATTTAATTTCCAAAATCAATTGAATAGAATTCCATTGCTTTTAGTATACACACGCACATATAGACACACACATACATATTGTACAGGAATTGCCCAATACATGCATGCATGCATGCATTTTTCTGCTTCCATTCAGAATATACCAGAAATTCATTATTTATATCAAGTAACAATGTTCATCTCTTCAGACCCATCCGATAAAGACATGATGAGTGTAACTCAAGCATGTATCAAATACCTAGGGAAATTTTACAATAAATAGATCAACAGGCCTTCTATACCACATCAAATTCACAATACAACAAAACAGAATACCACTTATTAGAAGCCCATTCTAGATGGTATTCCTTTTCATAGGCCTTAACTTGCATAATGATTTATAAGTAGGTATGGTTTAGTGGTCAACCACAGTTGCTTATAGATCGTCATCCAAGTTAAATTGTTAAGCAGCAGAAACAGTAGCACATCAGATTACAATGATGCAGCTATAGGAATGGATCCAAATTGTTTTTCATGAGCCAGTAATCATATTCCACCAGGAAAAAAAATCTATAAGCTTCTAATCTCCAGATGGAAGGGGAGTGGTGCAGTAGTTAAGGCATCAGGTTAGAAACCAAGAGACTATTAGTTCTAGTCTCACCTTGAGCACAAAGTCAGCTGGGTGACCTTGAGCTAATCACTTTCAGCCCTAGGAAGGACACAATGGCAAACCACTTCTGAAAAACTATGGATTTGTCCAGGCAGTCTCCAAGAATCAGAAACGATTGAGCCAAAGGGTGCGGGGATCTCTAGACAGTGTTGATGCAGAATTAATTTTTTTCTAGGAAATTTAAATCTTACCTATACATGCATAGGATGGATATCCCCAAATTTGTTGCATTTATTATTCCCCAAATAAACCCTTTATGGCAGAAAAGTCTATACTATTTTCCATATTGAGAGATTAATAAATGAACAGGAAACACTAATTTATTCAGAATATATTATGATAAAATAGTACATGAAAACATAGCATATTAGATAGATAAAATAAAAATCCTTTTTTAAAAAACTTTTTATTAATTTTTCAATGTTACAATTATATCTTTGAAAAGCAATGTAGTGTCTCAGCTACAATAATTCAATTACATACAAATATTATTAATAAAAATCTCCAACTATTACAGCCAATATTTCCTCTCTCTTTTCCCTTAATACATACTGTCTCTTGTTTAAATTAGTATACTTCTTATTCTATCCATCAGCTACTTGATAGCTTTCTTACATTTATCAATAATTTTATATGTCTTATTTATTTTAACATTCCATCTTTTGGACCATCAATAACCTTATGAATTTTCCCAGCTTTAATTTTGTGTTGATATTTAAATTAAATGTTTAATATTTATCATTTCCAAATTTTTAAATGACCCCAATTCCGTTTGTCACAATTCCCCCCAACATCTAGTGTTCCGGATACATATCTATCTCACTTCTATATCAATAGATTAATAATACAATATAATATTCTTGTTTTCATTATAATTTCCAAATATTATAGATTCAATAACCAAAATTTCTCCCATTTTAACATTCTTCCTTATGTCCACTTTCTCATATTTAAGCTTATAATTTTTATTCTTATCGCTACATCAAAACATGTTAATTACGTTACATCACTCTTAACATATATATGTCTTAATCACCTTTATCTTATCTTTATAAACAACTCAATATTTCAATTTAACTGTTGATATTTATGCATCTAGGTTTTAATTAGCCAACATTTTTCTTTATCTTCACATCATAACAATATCTCATAATCAAAATACGGGTCTTGTCTACTTAAGTATATTCTATTTTAAACCTCCTAAATATGTCCACACTCCATTCTTCTTCAGTCTTATTCTGGCTTTTTTTCTTTGCCAAATCATCTTCCATGTCCTTGCTTCATGGTGCTCAAAGAATTCTTGTATTATTGTATATATTGTTATATTGACATGACCATCCAGTCGCCATTTTTGAAAGGTTGAGGGGTCTGGCAGGACTACCAGATCATCTCTTTATTTTCTCCTCTTGACGTAGTTGTCCTGAACTGTTTATCTTTCCTTCCATCTGTTTCTCTTCTTGATCTTCAAATTCCTTCTGATTTATATAGCAGGTTTTTTCCTCCATCCAAGTTGTCAGATTTTTTTCTGAATTTTCTATTGTCTGTACTTGTTGGGCAGTTAGGTCTTCTGTGATGATATTTAATTGTTCATTTTTTTTCTGTTGTATTCTGTGTAGATAGGTTTTTAGTTATAGTCAAAGTTTGAGTTTGCATATCTAAGACGCTTTCTGATTTTCCC